GCGCGCCGCCATATGGCGGTGTTCTTTGCCACCGTATTTATGAAATGTGTAAATCTTTTCGCTTGAGGCCTGTTCTTATTTTGAGTGTTGAGACGGGTATTTTGCTGGCCAAACGCCCACGGCCCCCTAGGGAAGCGGAGGTTCCTCTGATAGTTCCTGGCAAAGCCACGTCCGAAAAGTCTCAAGGGAGAACTTGCTGCCGGTGGGGAAGCTCGACTTCCCTTAGCGCCCTGGCTTCTGGCGCGGGCTCTTGACTGCGGGACTCTCCTGACTGCCGGTGCCGTAATTCCAGGCCCTGCTGCAGGGCCTGCTCCTTGGCAGAAGCAGAAGCTCAGTGACGTAGACCCCAGGCCTACTGGTTCATTTAGAAAGCAAGGCCAAACGTGGAAGTGCATAGGTCTAGTTTCAGTAAATCTATTTATTATAAGGTGGGTGAATTTGCCTGGATGTGGCCCCGAGCAGCCTGCTCTAGCTGACCCTGCTTTGAGCAGAGGGGCTGGACTGGGCGACCTCCAGCGGTGCCTCCCAACCTTGGCTGTGCTACAAAGTCGGTGTATGTATTACTGTAGCAACCGTGTCGCCAGTAATAACACAGGAGGATCATCACAGCTGTTACCTTCTTCCTTACATGTGGAAAGGAAGGATTACTTCCTTGATTCAGGGAGCCTGCAGGTCTCGTGGGCAAAACCTCTGTGCAGTCAGACGTAAAAGTAGTTCTTTCCTAATAGCTACACATTTGTTAAAAGCTAGTTAATGTTTACTTACTGATAGACTGGATAGGCAGTCACTTGCATAACAGGAATTTTCTTCCGTCGTGGGTCACAACTATATCCAAAATTCCAAGGAGTAAATTCAAATTTTAAGCATGCTGCTGCACTCTAAAATAATTAACCTGGGCTCAGTCACAGTACGTGGCTTCCAATTCCACAAGGTCAGTCAATGGCAGCTTCAGGCTCCCTGTATACTCCACTGAAGAGCGTAGACTTGCATTTACCTTGGCAGTTTCTAACTGTATCAGCTCATGCTGCTGATGCTGGCAATCTTGATATCTTCTTGTAAGAACCTTTCTGTTCAAGGTAGCTGAAAAGTGAAATTGCGAAAAGCTCTCTAATCATAAAAACACTAAAGATGCCACGTCAGTGACTTGATGTGAAGTCCCATATGGAATCATAGCCATTTAGCTATGATCTCAGGATTTTTAAACCTATATTCTTGAGTTAAGAGGCCCTATTCTTTGCTACGTTTCAGCTCATTATGAGTTCCTGGTACGTAACAAAAGGAGAGGGGGGGAAAAAAGGCAAACAAAAGCAAACTTTGCTGTTCTTTTATAATATTCCATGGTATATGAACAAGTAAGTACTCTGTGTCACCTATCTTCTAAATATGATATATGAGGCAAGTTTTGTTTTTATTTTATAATGATTTTCACCTTACGGTCTGCAGGTATCTGTAAGTCCCTGGCATGCTTCTGTCATGTCCATGAAAGACAATCACGGAAAGCAAGACCATCAGGAAGCCTAAACTTTTATATAAAGAGCCAACAGCACTGTTGAGAATTTTTAGGGATTTGCCAGTCAAAAAAGTGTGGAAACAACTGTCTAGTATAGGTGAATAAAAACTCTGCATTTGTGTGATGTAAGTGTAAGTATAAGCTAAAACGTAGGTTAGCTGTAACATGATTATAAGTGGAAGCTCCAGTTCTTCTGCTCTTCTTTTTCCTGATACCTCTGTTTCCTGGAATCTTTTTTACTGCTGGCCTTCTCTGTCCCCTTATCTATGTTATGGCTCCAGTGTCCTTATGACCTTCCTGCTGCGGTTCAGAGTGTTTCTTTCTTTTCCTAATACTGCAGTTCCCATTCCAGTGTCCCTCACTTCGGAAGTACAGTTCTCAGCACACCAAGCATATGTAGCCGTAGCCTCAAGAAGTTTGGAAAATTACAGAGTTTGTCAAGAAGATGGTCACTTCTTAAGGCATTACTTTTTGCAGGCATAGTAGGAGAATAAAATAGGTTTTTATTTCACATTCCCTGCATGTAAGTTCATGTGTGACCATGCGTGAGAACACAGTTCAGCAAAATACCGCATGATCCCTGGGAGGCAGCGACTGTGACATTTAGAGAGCTCCTCAACACCTAAAGCTTTTGGTCAGGGTGATTCTAAACTCTACTGCTTTTCTGTCCTAAATAGTTTATTTGCTTGTATCTCAGTCTGCACACAGAGAATTAGCACTTACTGCCACAGCTTTATTGTTGTTTTAACTTGATGTGGATTTAGGGGGGAAAAAACCATCCTGGAGGCTCTGAGGTTCTTCCAGCATTCTGCTAAAGCTTTTGCTTTCTAAACATTCAAGCATTTCTTCTAACAGCTGAAGCTAGCTGAAAGGGTACGGTAGGGGTTTAGCCTTTTTAGAAACTAGTAGGCGTTTCTACAACATTTGCACAGGTACTTTCATTTTATGAAAATATACTGTTAACCTGGTTTGGCTGTGAAGATAAGCTTCCAGGTGAAGACAAGTGCAAGAAATGTAAGTGACCATGCAGTCTTAGGATATTTTGATTATGTGAGGCCTCTCAAAAATTATGCTTTTTTACAGTACTCCAGGAATGAAACCTTCACTTATAAATATACCAGAAACAACTGACTCTTTAAAGTTGGTCAGCAGTGTGTATGCTGTATTATTTTGATGTGGTTTGTATCTTGCTGCACAGTAAAATGCTAGGACTTGAGTAAGTGTTGCAGTTCCTCAGCTTTTCTGAGATTGTGGCATCCATATGTCCAGTTGCTCACTTCAGTGTTGATTTTGAGCTTGTCTTTTTTTCTTTCTTTCTTTCTTTCTTTCTTCGGTATTAAATGTCCGATGTTTTTTTCCAGCTTCCCATCACCAATATTTCTTGGAATTGGACAGGTATGTTCCCAAATAAAACATACAAAGTTTATGGATTATGCTGTAAATTAAACTCATGTTCACATAGAGTTATATTTTAGAAGGACAAATCCCTGTTATAATGCACTGCTACTCTTCTGAATTAGTCACACTATAAGGAAGAGTGATTTGTTTTAGTGAGATGGAGGAAACTTCAGTTCAAGTAAAACCTATTGCCTAGGAGAAGTCACATAATGAACTGGAAATGCCATTAATCTTCCCTTGTAGAATTCAATAATTAAGAAGTCTGGCCTTCAAAACTGTCAGGCTTCGCAGAAAGCGCACAGGTCCTGGGAGATTCCTTGCGCGTTCATGAAATACATGAAGAGGCACTGCCTCTGTATGTGAACAAACTGCCTGTGTATTTCCTCATAAATCTTCTTCTCCCTTCCACTGCAGTTTTCCGTTAGGACTGCTACACAGTTTTGGTTCTTTGTTGCCTTATTTGCCTGTAGGCAATCTACAGTGCTGCAACAGAAGTAAGGTTTTTGTTGGTAGATATCATTATAAAATCAAGGTGCAAACATTTGTGCATGTGGCCCATAAAAAAAGAATGGGTGACTCTGCAAAGGGAGGGCTGGGACAGTTGGAGCCTTGAAGCAAATATTGTTTAGATAAATGCACGTGAAAGAAAGGATTTATCTTCTGTCAAGGTGACAATGTAATGGGTAGGGAGGAAGAGGAGACAACAGGCTACCGCAATTCTGATATCTCTGCTGTATGGTATTGAAGGGAGTAAAATGTCATAGCTTTGCTGTGAAAGATGGAGAGAAAGATAGTTTTGTACATCAGGGTATACTTTAGGATGACTCAGAGAACCGCACGTCCTTGGGGAGCTCATGTTTCGGTGGAGGGAAGAGTGGAAAATGTGGTAACACTTCATATCAAGGGCAATGATATGGCCTTGTTTCATTGCAGAATCTAAGACTCGATGGTGTTTCCATGCTTTGTTCACTGACCCCTCCCAGATTTTCCTGAACACTTTGAAAAGAGCATAGGAGATGATTTAATCTCTAGAACACTGTTCTATCCTCTCCTTGCAGATTTACAATTACTGTATTTTTACGTAAGGAAAACCTAACAAATTTTTCCTCCCCGTGGCCAGCATTAAACTCTGGTGGCATGTGCTTGCTCAGGTACTCTCGTTCATTCTGATTGTGTGTTTATTGGGTTTTGCCAACTTTGCCAACAGACTGATCCATGTCTGACTCCCTCTCAAATTACTGAAAAAGCCGCAAGAGTGATTCCGCAGACTTAACAATACTCTGCATGAAAATAGCAAGAATATTCTCAGATTCTGTCCTGTTTCATTTTCTCAGCTGCTTAATGTGCCTGTGTTGTTTTACAAGGTGCCACTTATTTTCCCAAGCCAGTAAAACATACCATATTTATATTACACTTTTAAATAAAGAGCAGACAACACTGGTAAGATAATAAGATTATTTCAGTTTATTCATTGCATGCTGCGTCATTCTTTGAATGAAATATGTAATATCTGGCATTTGTCAGACGCATAGAATGATTTTGTCTTTGAAGCAGTTCTTTTATGTGTATATATTAGGATTTTGTTCTTACATTTTTTTTCTTTTTTTTTTAGATGGCAGCCACCATACTTATCTTGTATGTGTCAAAATTAAATAAAATTATTAATTTCCCTGATTTTGACAAAAGTATACCTGTGAAGGTAAGAATTACTTAGGTCTTCATATTAATAAAAACCCATTACCTCTTATTATAACATTCTTTCTGTGGGCCTTCAAAATTTTTTTCTAATGGAGGCAGGATGTAAAATTTTGAATGCAGCTAGCTACCTACAGTGGACACTATTTTAGCCCTTTCTATAGAGCTGAAATGGTACTTTTGGAGTTGAGTACTGCTTGGGATTTCAGTCAATGATTTATTCTTTTTCCATTACTTTTTCACAAGTTCCATTCAGATTTCCATGCAGCACTTCTCTCTACATCCTATGTATCAGACCAAATTTCTCTTAACACAGATCGCACATCAACCCCACAGGGAGCTGTACACATGCAGAAAAGTACTTCAGTCATCTGAAAAGGTTCATCCTGCTGTCTGAAAATACAGTCTCTAAAGCATCTTTTCCCATGTACTACATAACCAAGTGACACTGCGTCTCTCTAGAGACAGAAGGCGAGAATATTACAGTGAAATTAAAATGATCCAATCCAATATGGAAATGAAACAAAGATACAGACAAACACAATGGATAAACAAGCTCAAAATTATATTCTGGCTAGCTGCATTTTATAGTCAGAAACATGTATACTATGGGGATATTACTGTATGCAAGGACATCCAAACCAAAATCAGGATTCTAGTATGTTAGATGCTTTACATTGCATGTAGGAAGAAACAGCCCCTGTAGCTAAGCATGTACAGTCCAAATAGGCAGGACCGAGAGTACGAGAGAGGATCTTTTAATTTCTCAGATTTAGAACAGGTCTGAATTAATGGCAGCACTGATCCTGCATGTAAGTAGATTTTTTGCATCCCTGTGCAATGTTGCTAAAGGTTTGCTGTGGCGCATAAGCCTGCATATGTATGTCTTGTTGCAGGAAACTGGCCAGTGTTTTGGTCCAGCATATGGAGGGAGTCAGTTCCCAGCTCTGCTGCAAAGCTCACGTCTCCCAGCATTTCAGGCCAGAATCTTCATTGCAGAATCTTTTTTTTCCTATCAGTATGAATTTTACTATGAGCAAGTTACAACCTAGGTGCCTGATTTGGTGAATGCTGCGTATTTTTAAGGCACGTTGAAATCCCTGGGATCTTTGCTTGTGATGGTCTTGTAGGAATATCTGTATTGTCAATTATGAAAAAGGGACAATCTCTATTTTTTCCTTAATATGAATAAGGAAATTGTCCTAGTGGATAGTTTTGAATTCCACATTAAAAAAAAAAGAATTGTTGAAGCCCTGAGAGATTTCCCCTACGCACCCTCCCTCATCCTGCTGCACTCCCTGCTGGAGACTTCACCCTAACCTGAATACAAAGGCATTAAAAAATGTGGTACCCGTTTTCTTTTTCCTAATAATACCTATCCTTTGAAAGACTTTCCAGGTTATGCTGGGAGCAGTCAGCACTGCAGCATTCAGCAATTGCATATGGCTTGTAGCGCAGGATCTGGCTAGTCACAGTGAATCAGCTGCATTGCTCTTTGTTGATTTCTTTACTTTGTAAAGCACCCTTTCACCATAATAAATAACTACAATGTCCTGCCTTAACTGGAATTAAGGTTATCCTAGATTGCTTTACAGCCTCGATGGTTTCAGCTAGAGTTTTAAAGCAGCAAAGTGCTTATTTCAGTGAAAGAGCTTTGGAGTTCTTGACCCTTTTAAAGTAAATATTTAACTGATCTCTGAGGCTGTGCTAGATGAAGGGAAGGTAGCTGCAATTTTACCTTTACAGCAGATTAAATTTTGGAGGAAAGAATGTAATATCAGTTCTGTTTTCATCCTGTCCATGAATACTGTTTTCTAAATGAAAGTCTGCACAAGAGGCAATTTATTACTGTATTGTTGAAAGCTCGTGTTTTTGGGCAGCGTATTTGTTGTTCCTTTTTGTCTCCCTTCTTTTTACTGTAAAAGAATAGCATAATTTTCTCAGGTATGTAAAAAGCAGCCCACTCCTCATTATGCTTTTCCAGCAATGCAGAGCTCTGAAAGAGCATAGCCTCTAACCAGCACAGTGTTTCCTGAGGACATACCTGCACAGCAGTCACAGCTATTGCACACGTTGGAGTATAGGGTGTGTTTTATTTTTCTGCCAGCTCCACTGGCTGATATCAAATGGAAACATGTGCCCTCACCACCTTTGTCCCTGTTACCTACCTTAGTTGATTTTAATGTTCTGCAGCTTTTCTGCAGTGGAAGAATATGGACTTGGATCTGCCGCTGACTCTTGTGGAGGATCCCTTACTCCTTAGGCATTTTCTTTACGCTGTGAGGTTCTGTTATTGTATCTCTGTATTGTGTTAGGGCACATATATTCCCGTGAAAGTTGGTGTGATTATGCTAGAAGCTGGGAATGCTGCAGTTTTATCCAGTCCTAAATCTTTATCTGTCCTTTTGACTATCTCAGATAGTATAATTCATTAGGCAGATTTAAAATGATACCTCTTCCAGGTATACTAATATATGTGGAGTACCCAGACAAGCATAGCATACTTGTAGCTTATTCATTCTTCTATTCTCCCTGTCTGGTTGCTTGTTTTATTACTGTTATTGACACTGCTTTAGATGCTAAATCCAAACATTAGAAAGGGTATTAATCTGAGGGTTATAGTAATTAAAATAACATGTATATGATTTAATCTAAATAGACCCAGAGTCTCATTAGAGGTAAATCACAGAAATCCACAGAAATCCACAGAAAATCAGTGAAACTAGGGTCATCAGTGGCCCTATGAACAAGGGCTACAGATCAGTTCGCACCATAGTTGTTTTTCTTTTCTTACAACACTTCCCCTTCTTCTTGCTGAAAGTGCATCTGATATTACAGATATCAAATTCTATCAAATAAAGTTTCTCAACAGTGCTTCAGGGCATAGATCTAATCTGAGTTGTGCTTTTAATTTTATCACAGTTGTTTCCTCTGCCTCTGATTTATGTTGGAAACCACATAAGTGGATTATCAAGTACCGGCAGACTCAGGTACAGTAAATGGAAGTTATAAGTGGCTTTCACCCTTTTAGGGGGAGGAGGAGTACAAAATAAACACTAAAAAGAAGCATTGCATAGGAACTTAAATGCATATTCATTTTAATGGATGATGTCTGTCTAAACCCCTGATTAGTACTATGAAACTCCAACCTAGGTATTTGATCTGTTTACAAGCTATGTGCTTCTCTTAAGGGGGCTGAGCATGGCCTGTACTGAGAGAAAATCAAAACTCTTGTGACAGTGGAAGCGCTTTCCATTTTTTCCAACTTCTTTTCTCCTCTTACCCAAGTGCCCAGCTTTTTCTGGGTGACCTAACCAGAGAGGTGAAAGCTGTAAAAAGGACCTGTTCTTTGAAGGGAGAAGAGTACATAAAAGATTCATGCTATGACATTGGCACAAGTTATTGAGGATAGTCCAACTGGTAGAAGAAATCCTGTGTACTGGGATGGTGGCAGTGACGTAGCCCTACCAGGGGCAAAGAGACTGCTGACAGGCTGGTGGGCTACCCCCTGAGAGCTGCTCTCAGAGTAAATGCGCTGTAAAAGTTCACATTTTGTAGAGGACCTGCTATAATTGATTGACTGGCCAAATTCTCCATGCAAGAGCAGTGTAGAAGCATGACAGCTGTAGCAGTGTTTGAGGTTACAGCCATACCGTTGGGGCAATTTCTTGTGCATTATTATGGGCTCCTGAGGATCTGATGGTAAACTAAATCAAAACTGCGAATTTTGTAGGTTTTCAAAACTTCATAACTTTGAGCGAATGGAAGAGAAAATACGTTGCCTTTTACCTAACGAATGAGTTTTCTCTGACTAGCAGCATGAGGCACCTGGTTCTGCACATCTTTGTCTTACACATTCACGAATCACGACAATGAAATAACTTTTTAAGCAGGTGAAAGGAGTTCAGCGGTAGTGTTCCAGATAGAACTTTAGCCAATGTGAATATGGAGATATTTTCACTCTTGTAGAAGTGCAGTTTGTGGGTTCTTCTTAATTTATGAGTTCTTCTTCCTCCTTCTCCCCTAACTGTATTTTTAAAATTTAAAAGATGTTTATTCCTATGTAAATGCTGAATCTCCTCCTCCTGCAGCCGATACGATTGTTTTAGATTTACTATTCATAACTGATTTTCGTAACAAAAAATGAGAATGGCAGCAGTGTTTCTGTCATTAATATTTTGTTATATTATGTGATGATTGTTTACATTATGGAATTTTGCACCTTGTTTGAGGTATCTACAGGGTGTACATGATCTCTGCATAAGTTCAAAGTATCAGTTGTAATATAATTAAACTCAAAGTTATGATTTGCATCCTATAGTAATGCAATTACTAATAGCTGTCTTAATACGGTGGATTAATTTTTCCAGTTGGCCATACTGTCAGATTTCCGGAGTATCAGATGCAAGTGTTTTATCAAATTAATCCAGGTTTCCCGACTGCATCACTTTATGTGGACGAAAAATATGTTGTTCAAATGTAGCCATTTGTTTGATAGTTGTGGTTGGTCCCACCTTTCATGTTTTTAGTACATTCTTTATTTTCTTCTTCTGGATTTATTTTACATTTTCTAAAGTACAACTTGTTTGCTAAGTGTATTTGCTTTGTATTTTATTTCTAGTATGTGTTTCAGAGACAGATTTATTTCTTGTCCTTTAAGTTTACAACAGAGATCTTCATTTCTTACTCTACGCGGCATTTCTGCAGAAAGGATTATTTCCCTGGGGCTATGATAGGCAGAAAATAGCCTTTGTATTCCCTTTTTCTGATATAAAGGGACTTCTTAGGAGGTACCCAGTTATGGTTGTTTTAAAAACTGGCAATTCTAGTTATTTTCAATGATTTGGTTATCTAATCTGCCTCTAGTGTCAGACTGACATTTTTTATGTATGGTAAGAGGCTCGGAATTTGTTTTCGTTGCTTATTGCTAGACCAGCGGTTTCATCCTCTGCTTAGTAAAATTAGATAACAATTGGAACATACAAATGCTATTAATCTAACCCTGTGCTTGGATTTTTTTTTTTTTTTTTGACAGTTTGCCGATGTTTACAGTGCTCAGGAAGTTTACCATTCCACTTACATTACTACTGGAAATCATCATACTTGGGTGATCTTTTTTTTCCATTTTAAGATACCTTTATTTTAGATCATATCAATCTGTGTACTTGTGGCATCTCATCAGGTTATTAAATGACTGGCTTTTACTGTCAAATAGAGAGAAGTGAAGAAAATGGTTTTATATAGCTTTTTTTTTTCTTGAAGGCACAGATGCATGTACTTTAGTGAATACAGGAAAAAAATTCTATTGCTCTCATTTATACAGATCAGTCTCTTGATTGCTGCACAGGAATAAGGTAACCAGAATGTGACTCAGAGAGTCTTCCTTTACGGCTTGTGGTTTGCTGTTTTAAGCCTTGGAGGCTTCTGTGCTGCAAACTGCTTCAAGCAGCCAGATCCTAATGTCTCAAACCAGTGATGATAGTATGGCAGTCTGCTTATGCAGAGCAGCTTTCTGGGTCAAGTCTTAACACATGCCAGCTTAGTGAAGCAAAGTGGTATCTAGCAGTGTGCATAGGTTCCTTTAGAAAAATGTTTAATTATAAATATATCCATTTATTTTTATGAGAAATTAGGATTTTAAAATATTGGAACTTGGGATCGTTAGTTTCAGTTGTACTATGGCTTGGAAGAACAGATATATCCATATATAATACTTTCTGTTACCAGCCTAGTTCTATCCAGATGGCTTGTGCTTGGATAAAATTAGGACACAAGAGGAAAAACAGCTTGCTGAGGCTGAACCCAAGCAAGATGAGAGCAGTGATCAGAGGAGGAGCTTTCTGAAAGGTCCCCAATTAGATTACCATCTCTTTTCACAAATGGTCTGTTTGATTCTGACTTCAGGATGCTCCTGGATTCTTTGCTGAGTCTAAGTTCTCATAGGGAAAGCAGAAGTTGCTGTCTCCTACGGTCAGCCTGAGGACACCCTAGCAAGGGAAGAAAATGTCTTTCAGTGAAACTCCTCAGTTCTCAGCTGGACTGCAGCAATGTGGTATATGAGTGCATACCCCCTAACCTAAGGGAGGTTTAAGAGCAGGATGCTGTGCCCGTGCAGAATGCCACAGTGTGTTTCCTCAGGGCTGGCAACAAGAGGACACTGGACAGCCTATATTGGCTTACCTCAGGATTTCAAAAGCAGTCATTGTTTGGGTGTTACCTTCAAGGTTCATTACGATCAGAGGCAAATACATCTGAAGGCTGCCCAAAGCTTTGTTGCTGAGACAATTGTCCACAGCTGTGGACGCATGTGATTTCTCCAAGAGCAGTAAACAGTCATTTTTGATGGATTTTTTTCTCTCAGGCCACCCCAAGCTACTGAATAAAACTTTTTAAGGAACGAGGACAATGTCTGTATGGACCATTTCAGTATGATATAAAAATACTTATGATATTTCTAAATCAAGTACTGTAGGAATAAGAAGCAGTATAAATATATGCTTTGCCCCACTTTGCAGCGGGGCTAATGTAGACGTACTGAAGAGCATCATAAATGTCAGTGCTTTCCACTCCAAGTTTGGGGTTTCAGTTTAACTTCAAAATCAGTATATATTTTAGAGATACCCCACATGCTGTGCTATATAGCATCTTCCCCAGGAAAGGATGAGACGACAAACCACTCAAGAGATGTGTAGTGGTTTGCCTTTACTGAATTACTGGAAGACACTGAAATATGTCAGTTATGAGTACTAATATAGGGTAGATGACAATTTGTCCCAGCGCTTACACTTTAAACCTTTAATCTTTATTCTGAAAATTATCTCATAGCAGAATGTTTGTGGTACTTTATCAACCTCTGTTCTCAGGGCCAAAGTCTGACAGTGTGACAGAGACAGAACTTCCATTAGTCAATAATGTTGCTTCTGTAAGGCTATCAAGGCTGTGTCCTTCCGTTAAATGTTTTGTGATTACTGACTGCAGTGAAACTTTTCAAGCAGACCGCCATTTAATCTCCTTTTTTAATAACAAGAATGTGAACTGTCCAATTTTCATCTACAGGAAACGATATCCACTAAGTATTATAATCAGCGTATTTGCCATCATTCTTGGGGCCTTCATAGCAGCTGGGTAAGGCTTTCATTTGTTTATACTAAGTATGATGACAGCAAGGCTTTCTTCCTTGCTAAGGGCCAAGTGGCCCTGAATTGGGTTCAGTTATTCTGGGCAAAGCTGATTTGGACAATCTCTCTACTGACATCACTGGGAGAAGCAGGTACACAAAAGGGGGGGGGAAAAAGAAGCCAAAAGAGTTTGATTAAACTCCATCTGGAAATACTTTGGGACTTTTTTTTTCTCCTTAGATAGTCCATGTTTGCGGAGATATAAGTGAAGCAAATTAAAAATATGTGAAAACTACTGCTTTCCTTTCATAGTATCAATATATTTTAATAATCTCAGAAAAATATATTCTTGCTCTGAGTAGAAGGAGTGATTTTTTAGTTGTTAGATCCTGTTTTGACTTAGGCAATGTCTACTTCTTTATCACTTTGAACGAGTTCAGATATGAGATAGGTTCACAAAATACTCATCTGTTAGTCTCTTCGGTTTTTTCTATTTGAGAAATCCTTTACTTACATGGAAATTATTTTTTGAATATATTTTTGGCTTTGCTATGTACAAAGGTAAATAATTTCCATGTGATGTGACTTGGATAGAGCCGCTTCCTATTAAATAAATTACCCTATGTCCGTGAGGTAACTAGTCAAAACAGAAAAGATGACAATATGTCTGGTCTGACTATGAAAAACAAGTAGTCAGATTTTTATTTCCTGCTTACACTTTGTGTTAAAAGAAATAGATAAATATATTCAGTAACAGTTGGACAAGTTGTCAGAATTGAGATAGATGAAATTTTTCACCAAATGAGAATCAAACATTTCTTGCCACTGTACTGAGTTCTGGGAACTCTGATTTTTTTGTTATTTTGACGTGAGTGGAGAAATGCGAAGTGTCTTGACATACAAAGAAGACTTCAGGCAAAGCCTGTAACTTGCTGGAGTTCTCAGGATTTGCTTTTCCTCATCTATGATACTTCTGTAGGTAAACAGGGTAGTGCAATGTGCAGTATACTGTTTGTTTATTTACAGTATATTGTTTGTTTTCAAGGTCTGATCTAGCTTTTAATCTGGAGGGCTACACCTTTGTATTGCTAAATGATATCTTCACAGCAGCAAATGGAGTTTACACAAAGCAGAAAATCGATCCAAAGGTAACTGTGGGGTGGTTGTGTTGAATTTAGCATTATGAAAATATGGTAACAGCGGTTACCTATTCTATGACTTTATGAATGTACTGCTATGACCTAAGAAATAGCTTAATTTATTTGCGTATTTCACTTGATATATGGATCATTAGTATGCAACAGTCTGGGAAAGACTTCTTATGAGTATCTCAGACTAGGCTTAGCCAACTGTATATTATTTTCTCCTGAGTCTTTTAGGCAGAGTTTATAGTGATTTTAAATTGTTGCTTTTGTTTATATACATATATATACACCTATATACACATACATACGTACATACATACATACATACATATATATATATCCCCAAAGCAAAAGCAAATTATTTACCTCTAAGCATGATATATGTATGAGAAGTACAACTTTTTGACCAGAAATACAATTTAACTTAAGTGAGGTTTATGTAAAATAAACTTAAGGTGAGGAGTGGTGACCTCTCAAGTTTGAGTCAGCGAGTGTTAGTACCATCACAACCGCAACAGCTGACACCTTTGTTGGCTATCTAAATACAAATCTACAGCATACAGTGGTATACCAAAGAAAAGGATCATACCTTGATGCATTATAGTTTGAATAAATGTTGGACAGGCTGATTTTCAAATACAATGCCACAAAAACATAGCAAGCTGTGACAAAGAGTAGTCTTGGATTGAGGTTTTGTCACTGACTTTAGAAAGTCAGCCTGTACGGTGAAAAATATGTCTCTTTTAATAATCTCAAAAATCACACTGAATCCAGGCTCTGTATTTTACTTTATGAGCAATACTTAATGGCCCCATAGGTTTCTGGAAAATACAGGCATTCGTTTTAAAGGAAAAGCTAAAGCTAACCCCCAGAGCTTTGCTAAGTAGCATGGCTGAATCTGGAGGAAGGGAAAGCTGCTTTCACATTCCCCTGATCCTCTTCTGCCTTTGCATCAAACAAGTTAACCAACAGCTTGTACGGAGTCCTTCAACCTGCTCAAAGTGGCATCAGTTACCAGTGACTCCAGATGGTCCGTTTAGGAGCCAGGCTTCTTTCATTTTCCTACTGCAATGGCCCTGGGGAGCACTCCTATGCTCTACACTCTCGGGGGAGATGTGAGGTAGCTGGAACAGGTAATCCCTTGGCCGGGCTTTGCCATGGTCTAACACAGCAATTCTGGACCTGTGCCGTGGGAAGCTTCTGACTAGCTGCTGTTGCATGGAAATTTTTGAAAATGTAGCAGAGCAGTAATAATTTGCTGAGCATGCAGACAGAGTGACTGAAATGGAAGCTCGGCTGGGTATTAAACACTGAACCCAGTTATCGCAAGCTTATCTATCTCTTAAATTGTAGTTCGTTGTGTTTTGCCTGCTCATTGACAAGAATGTCAGAAGGACTGCCAGAGCAGTGTTTAGTTTGTTGCTCTCCATTGGCTCATATTTCCAAACACTCTCTCATTTTTTACAGGAGTTGGGAAAATATGGCGTCCTTTTCTATAATGCTTGTTTTATGGTGGTTCCAACTGTTATTATTAGTTTTTCTACTGGAGACTTTCAACAGGTAAGGGGCAATATTCCATATCTCAGGTTGATAGTCGTATTGTATTGAGTTGCTTTGGGTTTTTTTTTTGTTATTGTTACTGTTTGTTTGTTTGTTTTGAGAAGCAATCCTACCTCCGTGTTAGGGGCTTTTTGTAGTTATGTGGCTTGGACTTTCCCTTCACGGGGAAGAACCTGTAGTTATTCCCTCTAAGGAGAAGCTGAAGCTGTGTGATAGCCCTTATGTCAGTCATTGTGTAGCATTAACAAATGGGTGGGGACTCTCAGCTAGAGTGAGTGGCTGAGAATCCAGCTGCAGCATGAGAATTGCCACATGCTCCCAAATGAGGCTACAAATGCCAAAAACCAGGCAGTCTGCAGCACTCTGTCATTGTGTTATACAAAAGAGATTCCTATTTAGTCTCAGTCTAGTTTAGTAACCTGCATTTCGTGTCCGCATAGAACTACCACATGACCCTCCATAGGTAATCATGGTACGATATAATACTTTATCTGCCAGAATCAGACCAGGAGATTTGTGTTCTCTTGCTGACCACTCACAGACTTACTGAGTCACCTTTTTCTTATCTCTAAAATGAGGCTAACGATTTTTATTTTTCCTTTGAAATGCTTGATGAAAGTCACTGCAGAGCTTGTAGGTGTCATAAATTGTTCCAGTGTCCTTTGTTGTATGCTGTTTTGCCCTGAGTTCACATGATGCTTTGTTGTTGTGCTCTTAACAGTGTATTTTACCTGGAAAAATTGTCAATCCCTGAAAAAATGATGTGGTTTTTACATATGGGAAATGCCTTCCTGTGACATCAGTCTAGTATGACCTTGTGCCAGTTTAGGACAACACAGCTGATGCCCTTGTTGGCAGACTCATTGTGGGCCGGTGTAAGGTTCCAGCTGCTTTCCCGCCAAGCAAGACTGGAGGCATTTTGGGAGGACTGGACAAGGAAGTTTACTTTGTTGCTAGGTTTATTCTGTGGGAAAAAATAAAGATTGCATTGTGCCCACCTGTTGATTCAGCACAAACAATTTAATGCTCAGCTACTTGAAAAGAAAGAACAAATAAATATCGGAGAAATGCGTAGTGCCTGTTGTGTACGTGTATTGGCTTGCTCACTTAAGAAGTCTCATTACATGATATGGGTGACTGATATTAATGTGATGTATATTGATTTAATCACAGAAAAAAGGGAGAAAATAGAAAAATGCTGATGAGCAGTAAACAAATTCTTTTAGGTAACACCTGCATCTAGCAGATTTTCAGGCCATAGAAGTTGGCTTGCTTCCAGCCTAGGAGAGCTTTTTGCCTTAAATCCATCACAGACAGTGCACAGCATGTTCCAGTCAAAAAATATTTGTCCTGTCTATGTGATTGGAAGATTGTCTGCTCCTCTAGCTAGTTCTGGAGCAGTAGCTACTACGTCTCGTAAAGGCTGCAGTTGTGAGCATTGCAGTTATTCACTTATCCTTTGCCAGCTGGCTGGCTAGGAGGATAGGAAAGCATGATGTAATGGAAAAGAAATGAAGCCCCAGAATATCCCTCTGTAACACTTTGCAGTTTGTCGCTGCACACCAGCGTGGTTCCGACAGGGGTAACAGGTCGGGGTGCCCAGGGTACCTCACCTCAGGTGCTGGAGGCTGAGCTAGCCGCAGCTCAGCAGGGACCAACAGCCTTAGCATTTACCCTGTTTCTCAGGTAGCTTTTCAGCCTCCACGGAGCTTTGTGTTGATATAAGTGACCTAAACGAACCTGGTTAATATCAGATGTCTTTTTATTTGCTTTTTTCTCTTTCTCATGTCATGACTATTTGTAATATAATATTAATTGCAGTGTTGATATCTCCATCAATAAATACAAAGTACAAATCCTATGTAAAATACATTTTTTTATCCATTGCTTGCAGTATGCAGTTTTATATCTGCCCTGCTATAGCTGAGACAATTAAAAAATATATCTAGGTATCATGGGTGCTGTTATCCTGTTGTCTCTGAAGCTAAATGCATCAAACTGCTTGTAGCAGTAATATAAACCTTTCATAATTCTAACAGGACTCTAGTCTCTTTTGTAATTTTGCACGCTTTCACTTTAGCTGTGTATTTTGTGTGTATACAGTTGTTTATGTAGCATATAATTCTCTCTATTGTTTTTTAATAGGCAACAGATTTCCAGCACTGGACAAATTTTTTGTTCGTCTTTCAATTTCTTCTTTCCTGTTTTTTGGGGTAAGATACAAAATGATCAAGTAAGAAGTTTCAGTGGTCATATTTCAAATCTCAAATGTAAGACTTACTGACAAGTTGTGTGGGAATTCTAAGAAAGTACATTTCTCTCCCAGGCTTCTGTCTTCTCTTTTAACAATTTCTAGTAATGTAAGTGACTATTCCAATACTGTCTGTGGTGTTCTTCTCACAAGTGCAGTGGTCAACAACATGACAGTTAGCTTTTCACCTTCTGTACTCAGTAGGTCTGTCTCTTCTAGCTATCTCTTCTGATATGTGACTTTCTTTGCAGCTAAAAGAGTGTAAGGCTTTTAGTGTAGGGACTATTTTAATGTATTTGTTCTTTAAAGTACCAAAAAGTACTTTATGGGGGACATAAGTAATGAGACAGTGCTTTTTTCCTGTTGGCCCTGCAGTGCCAAAAGAAGAACAGAGAAGTGAGTTGGTTCCTATTCTATTCTCTTGCACATGTCATCAACTGAAGGGTCAAACTAACTTCAAATATGGATGTTTCTGTTACTAGTAGTGATTAAAGAAGCACAGAGAACACAGATAGGTCTCTGCTAGGGCTCTAGCAACATACAGAAGGATTTTCTTTTTAAGCTGTATTTTGAATAATCTGTACATGTACGTCATTGACTTTAAATACAGGTCCACAATGTCTTTTCTAGGGTTTGGAACAGGTAGGATTGAAGATCCCAGTAAAATATTGATCCTGAAAAATGTTGATTATTTCAAAGTGCTGCTAAACTTGTTAGTTCCTGTGGGAAGAACTTCAATAATTTGTGGCTTTACTTTAGGTTTCTCTTGATGTATTCCACTGTCCTATGCAGTCATTACAATTCTGCGCTTACGACAACAGTGGTTGGTGCTATCAAGGTAAGTTATGGAGCAGAAGACGGAGAAGAGAACACTGAAAGGGGTGGGAAAAAGCATTGCCTCAGCAAGTATCCTGATTATGTTTTGAGCTGGAAACACAAGATGAGGGCTGATCCTAATTACACTGTTCATGCCATAGTTGCATTTTGTATTATGAGAGCCACACTACAAAATAATTGTGTTTTCTTCTCACTGAAACTCAAGTGTACTCTAGAAAGAAATGTGACTATTGGGTTTGGGTTTTTTTTTTCTTTTTCCTACAAGAGTCACTTGTACCAGTTTAATTAAAACTTGTACTTTCGTCCACATCTGTATTGTACTGTCACCTGCTATTGTTCTTTAACAAGTTACTGTCAGTTAGCTGAGTTAGCCCTAGGCAAATGCATGGCAAACTGATGCATATTAACCCCCTTTCGCTGTGGCCTAAACTGATTTCCATTGCTGCTGACTAAGGGGGCATTCATTGATACAAAATAATGGCTAAACTGTAGTAGGAATTTTCTTGCTTTGTGGCAACTTGCTTCTGCATCTGTGTGGGAACTTGCATTCTAGCTGAGTAGACTATTCCATTTTTATTTATTTGAATTCTGGTCAATTTGATGAACACCAAAACGTATCTCTCTCAAAAACTGAAGCTTTTGCCCCTGCAGTCTGTTTTCTGTAGCCTAACTTAAAATAAAACCAGTGCAACTTCCTTTGTGTCAAGGTCAGTCTGGGGAGAAGCACACAGTTGTAAGCTGGAAGCGTTATACCAAAAGATATACCTTTTGCTGCTGTGGATGCTGACAGTTGTGTTGCCCAGACTAGCTCAGGTGCAGGAATAAGAGTCCTCAGGGTGCTCCTTGGCATGGATGACAGGAAAACAATTCCTCCAACATGGCAAAACCTGCAAAAGTAAAATAGCAATTCTCTTTTTACAGTTGTCTTTTTGCAAGCTAGCAGGATTGATGTAGTAGCCTTTCTTCTGTGGCCCTGAAGGTGTTCTTTTCTATTTTGTATGTCTGCGTTGAACCATTAAGATAGAGCAATGCCGTTTCTATTGTCTGAACAGTAATTACTTTTTGAGAAGTTTTAGGTTGTTTTAAAGTTGAGAAGCACTTTATGACTCAGTAGTCCCCAAAGAAGTTATGTCATTGACCAGGCTAGCTTAAACATATGAAGCCAGCAAAGTCTTAGTAAAATGAGCACACAGTTCTTATAGCTTTCCTTGTGTCTATAGGGGGCAATTTTCATTTTCTGAAACTTGATGGCAGGAAAAAAAAAAAAAAACCTTTGACTCAAAACTGTACTGGCATTGAACTTGAGCCAAGTGCTTTCACTGCACTTTTAGGTGGCAAAGCAAAGAGGTAACCCTTTTAGAGTAGTAATAAAGAGCTTTTATTGTAACTTTACTACATAATCTTTTCTGCTTGGAGAAACCAAAGCCTGCTTTTAGGAAATGGAATTTGAAATGAGTCTTCCAAAGTGTTGAGAAGAAATACATTTTCAGAAGGTGGCCTTAGTTTCATTTGTGCGTAATGCCCAATGGCTAATTTTCTCCTTTGTTTCTTCCAAAAGTAAATCTCAGCGCATTGCTCATGTTTAGAAGACATTTTGATTTTATTTTGCTGTTATGTTACCCATAAAGTTGACGTGCCGTAAAACTAATTCAAACATTAATTTTAGAGGGGCCAACAGCTGAGTATAGCTATTTGCTTAGAAGAGTGAATTAATTGGTCTCATTTATATTCTTGGAGTTGAAAACTGACTGTAATAACTGCATTACTTTTGCTTGCTTTTCAGAATATATCCATTGCTTACATTGGAATGTTGGTTGGTGGAGATTACATATTTTCCGTGTTAAACTTTATAGGGCTTAATATTTGGTGAGTGGAACTGGAGCCTGGCCTTTATTTCCTAAAGCTGAAGCTTTTTCATTGCAGTATGGTTTTATCTTTTGTTTGATCTGGCCCGTTTGGCTGATGCAGTTTTGAAAATACTAGCCTGAGGAAGCCTTAGGATGTACAATTAGTTATGCTTTTCATGTCTGTTTACATGTATTGAGTGTTATCATGGTAGGATCTTAACTATGGAAATATTCCTGTGGATTTATTATGTGGGGTTGTGAGTTCATCCTTTTTTTAAATTATCTTATTTATTTATTTATTTATTTATTTATTTATTTATTTTTATTAGCAGTGTTGGATCTGATTAGTTCTGAACTCAGAGGCTTCCAAGGAAAAGCCAAGTGCTGTGGGAAGTGAGAACACTGATTCCATGAATTATGCTCGTCCATATGAGTTATTATTTCTGAACTGTTAAGTTTTGTGTTTGGATGAACTCCTACACCCGCTCATATGAATGCATTGGAGCAACTGATTATTGATCCTTGTGCATTCAGGGCTAGTTTCTCAGATGTCTTACATTTACACAGCTCTAAGATGCTCTAACTGATGCTGGCTGGCATTCCTTGATCCTTTGGAAGAAAAGTTATAAACATAAAACAACCCTGGGTATACCTTATCAGGTGTGTCTGACATCTGTGTTAATTCTCTCTCTCTCTCCCTCTCTCTCTCCCTCCCCGTTTTTTTTTTTTTTTTTTTTTTTTTAATATTTGCAAGGACTGAGATACTCATTTTTAACCTTAAGAGGAAGCAGCAAGCCTAAGCAACCCGGAGATGAAGAGAATGCACTTCTTGAGTCAAAGAGTTAGCAGTCTTTGAAAAAGACTGAAGTTTTTTTAGTGCTGCTCAGAACTTGAACAAGTGTATGCTGGAACATATTTGAAGCAAGAAAAAAATCTACCTCAGTTGCCACAGATGTGAACACCTCTCATCAGTTCAGAAATATTCTTGCACACTATATTTTTCTACATGTGGACAAGTTTCATTTTAGCTGTTTTTACATCACAGGCTAATTTACAGGAAAGAATGCCATGAGCAATCCTCAAGTTATGAATTTCTTTATTTTTCTAGACTTTTCAGCTATTTATATTCAACAGAACAGTTCGGTTTCAGTTTCTGTCAGTACTCTCTGAGGCAAAACTCTGTATCATGAGGCTTGATTCATCATTGCCTTATACCATATGTGATCTTCGATATCAGTGAAGAGGTGAAAGACACTAGCAGCTCAGAATGATTTCACATACACTTTTGCCCTTATGTAAGTGATTGTAAAACACATAGGTCAAAGAGGAGCTGTACCCTGAGGTTGTTCCCTGTGTATGTTTTGACTGAAGAGCATGGGATATGGCCTTGTGTGTTTTGTATGCATTGGGTAGTCATTCTCTCTCAATCCTTTTCTTATCCTCAGTAACGTCATGGTTTTCTGCTGCAGTTGTCACTGTTGTTATAAGTGGATCCTTATAACTTTGCTGCAGGATCAAAGGAAGAGAGAGACTGAGAGAAGCATTTTAGTGTTTAAAAATATGATTTTTGTTTGTTTTGTTTGTTTGTTTTATTTGTTTGGTTTTTGTGTCTGAGTCAGTACCATACGGGTAGTTATGAGAGATGACAAAGGTAAATCTATTTCTGTTCAGGTACAGTCATCTTTTGATGTCATTCCCCTCCTCTGAGGTTTTGTCTATAATTACTTTATAATGCTGCGCAGAAGTGACACTACAATGTACAAAATACAAGAGGGGAACTGATGTGTAGAAGACTGACTTATTTTTCGTTGAGGAAAAAGGGTCAGTGTCCTGTTGTCCTATATATGTAGTGAAAGCTGACCTAGTACTATTTTATGCTCTAAATTCAGAACAAGGAGTCATGACAAGCCCAAGGTGTTGCTACAGTAGGCAAGGCTAATTTTGTGGTTAAAAAACAAGGTCTGGAATCTGCTGGGCTGGGTTATTCGGGGGGACAATAGTGGCACTGCCCTATATCTTTATTTCCTTCGCTGCAAGTACAGCTGATTGATACATACCTGCAGCCCTGAAGATAAAGCATTAGTCTTTAAGGCACCTTAGAAACATTGCATTGCTGGAGGACAGCAGTAATTCATCTTGCTGAAGTTTTTAGTTGCAGACAGGCATAAACCAATATTTTTTTAAAATAAACAAATTAAAAGAAGAATGAGATTTTGAAAGACTTTGACATGGAACTGGGTGGATGTCATGACTTGTTTTCTCTGAGTCTGGGTTAAAATACAGAAAAACCTGAAAAGTGTTATTCTATGTGTTACACCTGAGTGGCCAGCCTAGATTAAATCTAAAAAGCACATGGGTAGCTCATATCAGAAGCTTCAGTGGAATAACCAGTCTCCAGCTTAAGTTCTTGGTTCCATGGCCTCCTGTGGCAATGATTTCACAGTACAATCATGTATGCAAAAAGATTTCATGTAGTGATGCTGCATTTCCTTCTCTTTTTTTTAGCATTCTTACAACATTGCTTTCTTCTGTTGTTACTGAGAAAGGACAGAAGTTCCTGATCTACTTAGGTGTCCCATTATTTCATGTGTCCTTCTATTCATCTCCTTTCTAAAATCTGCATAGTTTGTAAAACCTTGTAAAATGAAACCACTGTGTTTTGAAAAGTTCTAGAGCTACCTTCTTTAAACAGGAAACAGGATTTAGTCAATGATAGTGGATGCTTGCACTGATTTTGATGGATCTAGATCTGGCCTTGTACGAGCAATGTCCTGATGTCTCTTTAACCACATTCTGGTTTTTACTGTTTGTACAAGCTGCATTCCTTAAGGAAAAAAAAACAATTTAGGGGGTTGCTTCTGCCTCCTGCCAATGGAAGTCAGAGCTCTGACCAAGCTCAAAGGAGGACTAGGTTCTGGTAGTCTGCTGGGCTACCCATGGATTTGAATGGCAAAAGGAGGAATGACTGCAGATACCAGAAGTGGAAGATACTAGAAATGGAAACAGAAGTCTGGATTTTCCAGTTGACCAGAACTGGATAGGAGATGTGACTTTCTTTCTTTCTTTCTTTTTTTTTTTTTAACTATCAGGGGAATAGAGGGTGGGGGGGTCTATAAGTATTTTGGAGAGAGCTTTGGTTTTAAGATATTTCCTTTGTACTTAAAAAGCCTTCATTATTTTTAAGTGTATTCTTTTGTAGGACTCATCACCTCTACCTCCAGAATCTTAAATACTGAGCCTCAAATCTCAGTAGTGGGATAAGGCAATAGGAAAGTTTTCATCAATTACTAAAAGATTATCAGAGCAGTTTGCTTGCAAAACTAATTAACAGCCTAATGGCAGCTACTAAATAAGAAAGATGTAGTTCCTACAAAGGAACAGCTACCAAATGCATTTTAATTGATTAATATTTTGCTATACCTTTTATAAATAAAGAGATACAAAGTATTTTTTGTAACTTGCTTTTTATTTTTGTAGGGATGGACAAGTAAGAATTTCAAGTGCACTTATGTAGCATAAATATTTGTCTTGTGTACCATCAGCTTCTCTACTATAGTTCAAGTAGTTTTGTTAGTTCGTTCTGTATTGTAGAGGAAGTGATTTGATTTAATTCATTATCCATATCGTGCTTCCGAAGTCCTTCCGGCTCGGACTTCTTAGCTGAAATACAGACCTCATTCTCACGATCTTTATGATAACTTTACTCGAATGGTTTAAAAGATAATTTAGAAATAACCAAAAGTAGGTACTAAAATAGCTTTCAAGTAAACATAACGTTGAATATCAAAATGGGCTAAGGGAGAAAAAAAATATCCTGTCCATCCTTTCAAAGAGCAACTTGACTTCAATCTTTTAGTATTCTTCCTCTGTATCTGCAGAGAAGAAAATCGCTCTTCTGAATTAGCTGTTTGAAACTCTGATTATATGGGTTCATTCACACACAATTCTCATGTTAGAATTTAAGCAATGACTGAAATATCCACTTCTTTCAGAATCTCTAGTTGAGTAATTATATCTTTCAGCAAATAAAGTAGTAATTTCAAACTGATTCCTCTTAGTATATATCTGTAGATAGTCCTAATCTTAGTTTTCTACAGACTTCATGTTAGCTTAATCAAATACTAAATTAATTGTAAAATTGCATTACTTAGTTGCTGTGTGAAGCCTCGTTTTCTTTTCTTTTTGAATGGAGGAAAAAATGGTTACAAAGAAACACTAGCTTTCAAGGTGCATATTCAGACATTAATAAGTGGCCTATTTTTAAAAGTATTGAATTGACTTCTTAAAATCATGTTCCCTTATGTAAGGGTCATGTAGATACATGTTGCTAGCTATAGAACTTGATTTTTGTAAGACAGTCTAATTCATGTTTTTAAAACTTCAAAAGTCCTACAGGCGGCAACAGGTGTCTTATGTAAGGGAACATAAGAAGAAGCTGTAAAAAAAAACCTGAAAGCAGGTTCCAATTAAACAGTAATTGGTTTGGAGAGGAATATTAATCTTTAGAGTGATCTAGGCAAATAGTAATATTATAAGGATTGCTTAGCAGCAGATTAGCAGTAATGGGAGGGGATTAAGAGAAAAAAACACAGTTGCTATCACACGCAGCTTTACAGATATGCAATAGGTAAAGTTCTTGAAATGATTCCTGTGAAAGTTGGAGAAGCAATACCTCAGGGGAAAACTTAGAGTGGGCTTGACAAATAATATTTAACGTTCGTAAGAATTTATTGGTGTTGCTCTTGATAGCTCGGCCTGTTTTAAGAATATTTTAAGAATAATAGGCCCATGAAGTATTGGAAGACCAAAGTCTCTGGAAAATAAGATGGCGAGGGTCTCTGGGGAGCATGGGCAGGGCTAGAAGTGCAGCAGAGGAGGCTGACAGTTACAGAAGATTGGGTTGTGGCTCCATAGTCAAACAGCAGGGATTTTTTTCACTTAAAGCAGGTATTCAGCATCCTTATTGCATGTGAAAAATACAGTGCATCTTATCCAAATTTAAGTATTCCTTGAATAATGAGTGATTCTCCAGAGAATTTGTGATTGTTTGTAAATTCTCTGGGAAATCTAGTATTCCAACCTTTTTTATGTTCTGACTGGGCTTACTTACGGAGTAAAACAAGAGCTGCTAGGGTGTAGAAATTTCTAAGTATACTGAAATCTTATGTGTGAAGAGACTGAGTTCTCGCTAGGCTAAATAGTACTGGTTTTTTGTATCTTGTTGCAGACAGGTTTAGCGCTACGTTCCTTGTGACTCAGTCGTGACATTTTCTCTGCAATACTTCTGCATATGGTGGTTTTCCAGCTGAAGGTGTCACTAATGTGACACGTGACATGTGCTTCAGTTGAAGGTTACTGGGTGTGAGAAGTCCAGATTAAATTTTAAAGATGCCCCGTGACAGAAGGATATTATTAAAGCAAATGCACTACTTTTATCTTGCTTTATATTAAGTGTATATAAGCATCAGTATTTTTTCTACTCCAGTTTAAACTGGTCTTTGAAGAATGAAAAAAATCTTTCAGATTACTACAAAGAAGAGTTTAGGTTGTTTCTCTGCCTTCCCTGAGAATTTCTGTATGTTAACATTTTTTGATTGTTTTTAATTCACTTTTTTTCTGAATTTCATTAGTTTCAGACTTTTTCTTGCAGTAAGCATTCTTGTAAATGGTTTTTCCCCTTTGGATTTTGGTACCCATCCTCAACTTCAATATGAGTTCAAACAGATTGTTTCAGAAAGGCTGAAAGTCCTATTCCTCCTTAAATATATTATTGTAACATTTCATGCCATGATTTCCCCATTTATGAAATTATGGTATTAACCTCTTTTCCGAAAGCTCTTGGAAGAGTTATATGACATTGCTTTCTCTGTATAGAAAGAATTAGGCATTATTACCACCCTTAAATTTGAAGACAAATCCAATTTTTTGGCCTTAGCAGAAGTTCAGTGTGAACTTGCCCTCAAAGTATCTGCACTAGAGAGTTTAACTCCTCAGCACTGTAAGAAGTATTGTTGATGTGTATTATCCCCAAGGTTTGGAGTATTCTTATCCAGGGTTTTGGTTTAGACCTGTCTTTAGACTCTCTGAGTCTTAAACAAAGACAATAAAAATATTTCTCCTCTTTTTGTTCTTGGATAGTTTCCAGAAAAGGAGTGAAAACTTGCCTCTAAAGAAAGCACCAGAAGTCATTGTTCAGTTTGGATTCTTTCAGCAGTTTACAAAACTGGGTGTAACGTAGAGATGTTATTCTAATCTAAACTCTGGACACTCCTTGAAAAAAGAAAATCACGTGATTTGGTTAGACGCCTCGCTTCTGGGCCAGCGCTCAGAGACTAGCAGTGCACTAAGAGGCATATCTGAGGGAGATAGGGACTGTTTCATCCCAGCTCCTTGTCTTCGCCTTCGGCATGGAGGAGTTCCAGCGTCAGCTACTCACTGTTTTGGGGGCTCTGATCTGTTTATGTACTCTAGTAAAATGCATCCGATTTCTGAAATATATTTTCCCACATACCTGGAATGCTTTGCCTCAGGCTTTCTTTCGGTCGCTGGGAGAATGGGCAGGTAAAGGAAATTTCCTCACGTTTTCCTTCTTGTAACCGAGTGATGAACTGTTATGCTACTATTTAGGAGAGGTTTTCCTTGCATCCCATCCCTTCAGAACAAAACTCACCTTCCAATAAGTGTGGTTTGCTTAGTTTGCTTCATTTCTTCTCTCTCTCTCTATCTCTTTTTTTTTTTTTCCTTCCTAGTAACTTTGGTTTTAGAACCAGAAGGTTCTGCGTACTTGGGGAGAGTAGAAAACAACGAAACTGATAAAAGCGCACACACCTGGTGAATAGATGTGAATTCCTTCCCCATTCCTACTTCTGATGTTTTTTCTCTACTGGAAATGCTTTAGTTTTAATAACATTGCCTATATCCTCAGTTTCATGATATGTGAAGCAACTAGTTTATGTTTAGCATATGGCCTCTTCAAAGCAACTTTTTTTTTGTTCACAGTGACTTTTCTCCAGTCTATTTTTCCTGAATTGGTTGCCTCTCCTTAGTGGTATCATTAATGAGGCAAATCTACTTTTGCCTAAAAACTTCAGAGACTGCCACTTGTCAGTTCTATTTTAGAGCTATTACAAGTTCTCATAAAAATAACAGAAATGTTTGATAAACACCTTCTTCCTACTAAATGCTGATATTTTTATTAGGCTTGTTAGATTACTGGGATGAAGTAGGAATGAAAAGTTACTGCTTTTTCTGAGTTCCTAGGCTACAGATATCATCAATGGTGGCATCTTGCTAACAAGAGACCCCTATCAGTGCTTCCTTCCTGTGCCCACATTAGAGCGTTGAACTCGCTGGATTTAACAAGCATTTAATAGTCACATTTCCCAGTGGAATAATAAAGAGTGAAACCCACTCCTTTGCAGAAAAGGTGCCTAAAGACTAGATATTTTGGAAATAATATGTAGGCCCTATTTCAATTTAAGTGAGGCATGGGCCTCAGGTCTATGCACAAAGAGTGGGTTGCTGAGTGGAAGTTTCTATAAAAAAAAATCTTGTTTCCCTGAAGTTTGAGAAACCATTGCTTCCGTCAGTGGACTCACCTTTTATACTCTGTCCTTAAAAACGTGTAGTCTTCTGGATGCAGTGAAATTCATAGATTTGACTGATTTGCTCTATCACGTGGCAGGTCAGATCCTGAAAATCAGGAGAATTAAAGCTGGCAGGTGGAAATTTGTTTCCCAGTAGATATTTGCTTTGTATCTACTGGTCTATAAGGAATGTAAAAAACCACCTGCAGCACAGAAGCATTTTTCAGATATTGACTAATGTTCCATTTTGCTCTGAAAACTTACCAGGTTTATCTTGGAATTGTCTTACTGTTTTCCTACTATATTTCTTCCTTGTGGTGATAAATAATGCTTTCTTTCTGTATTTCCTCTTTGATATTTGTTTGCATAACTTCTAAAGTTCAGGGTGCTTTACGTTTGTCAATACTTGCTTATTTTCCCAGTGATACTAAATCCAAAAGCAGACTGTGAGCAGGAAAATTCTGAAAGAAGAGCATTTCATAGGTGGTGGTAAATTTGCTGAGGTGTTTCTTTACAGACAAATTTCTTGTGAAGGAAAGATGTTACATCAGCTTCAGGAACCAATTAGTCCTTATCTCCTGCCAGTCTGGCACCAACATAGAAGTTAAAAACTTGCAAAGCAAAACTTGTATAAATATGCATTTGGAAGAAATTTCTGCCACCCTGTAGAAAGTCGGTTTGTTGCTGTGTTTCTCCCTACTGAAAATGAAAAAAATAATTACCTACTGTACTAACTGACTTACAGCAGGGACGGATTTGCTGATATTAGTAAAATACTTAGAAGAAGAAAAGTGCTGAACTGCATAACAAAAATTGTTAGATGAAAAAGTTACAAGGAAATAAATTTTAAGAAAAGGTTGATTCTGTGCTTTAGAAGTACCATGTAGGTAGTAATCATTCAGAAACTCAGAAGATGAAGATTAAAGAATCCAGGAAAGCAGAAGCTAAGGCAGAGCAGCAAATGTAATCTCTCTTTTTTTCCTTTTTACTTTCTCCAGTGGTCACAGGAGCAGGAGATGGGCTTGGAAAAGCATATTCCTTTGAGGTAAGATAGATTACTTACCCGTTAATTTTAACTAAATAGCAAGTGCTACTCCTCCACCAAACTCTGAAAGTTAGTGAGGTTACTCTAGGATCAAGAGCAAGTACGACCACCACAGTACTAATCCTTCTCCTCTGCATGTGCAGAGTAACACTAATCAACTTCTGAAAGGAAAGTGGTATTGCATTTCTGAGGAAAATCATTCATGGCACAACACTCGCGTCAGACCAAGAAAAATCAAGTGGAACCACTGAATAGCCCAAAAGATTTTATGTTGGCTATCTAGAGCAGGAATTCTCCTGGGTTAGCTTTTTTTCCTGGTTTTGCAGCTGATTTGCTGCGTGTCTTTCAATGGGAATGGGGTTGTCTAGCATTAAACATACAAAACATACAGTCATTTTGTAGCCCTCACAGTTGCAGAGGAAAAGCTGGACAGATATAACTGAAACCACAAATAAAAGATACTTCTATGTGAATGAAAAATGACTACAATTCATGAAAATTATAACGAAAGCTAAAAGCCTAAGGAAGAATCTGTAGCTCTAAGAGCAGGAGGAGAGTGAAGGGAGGAACGGTGAAGCTGAGAGCCGCCGTCAGCTCCATAGGGACCTGTCACTGCAGAGTCACTAGGCAGCCCCTTTCTATTCCCCCCAATCAACATTAAAGGCAGGGTGACTTCTTGGATCATCTGTACTCCTCGTGGTAATTTTCTCCTTGATGCCTTCATTCAAAAGTGGCTTTCTTTCTAGAAGCTGCAGATCAATGACACGTGAGTTATGGCCTTCAGTGCTGAGATGACCAGGTGAAAATTAGCAGCCTTTAGTATGTCAGCACTTAGATTAGATGTGATCCCTTCTGATCATAAGTTATATAAAAAATATATCTTAGAGGAAAGGAAAATGAGTTTACCTTTGAATTAGTTGACAGAACTTTTAAAGCCAATCTTTTTAAGAATGTGCACTACTTACTTTAAGCACTCACCTCATGATTTTGATTCCTGGGAGTGGCAATAAAATAAATACTTTTGGAAGCGCATTGAATGTAGGAAGCACAAGGACAAATACCCAGTATTATAGTTTAACATTCAACATTCATCATAGTGGTGATAAAGATCACAGGCTCTTCTGTGGGAGAAAAGGGAAAAATGTTGCCTTCTATTTTCTCACTGAATTGCTCTAGTGATCAGCAAGTGGAAAGGACTTGAGGAATGAATAGGTTGGGGAAGGAGGGGATGGGTGGTAGAAGGAGAGAGGATTTAGGGTAAGTGCTTAATTGTATCTTTAAAACCACACCTCTGGGTGTAGCCACCTGCACATGCAGCTTGCTGAACTAACTTCTTAAGTGAGCACCTGGTGATATTTCATTCAGGTGAAGTTTCCAGGCACCTGTGAATGTCTGGATCAGAATCTCTATCATTGTTCTGCTTCCTTCATGCTATTGGGATGATGCAACGGTAAGTCCTATTAAAAGCCAGTTCTTGCAGAATCGCTGCTTTGCACCAAGAGAAAGGATAAAACAACTACTATATTTTCTTGAAAAACTTGGCTAGAAGAGGCAAGTTTTTGTGGAACATTTGTTAATTATTTTTGGCTTTGTGGGATGATGGAGAGCCATCCCTTATCCGTGCTGAGACATACCTTCTTCCCCAGGTGGTCCCTTTGATTTAAGCTTTGCTCAGCTACTGCTCTGTGGGGCAGATCCCAAGCTGACACCACATGAGCTCATAGCTTGGCACCTTCATCTTGCTGGCGGAGGTCAAAGCACACACTTGTGTGTGGCTCATGCATAAATAAATCTGACCTTGCTGTTTTAATGTCTGTAAGCCTTTGGAGTTTCTGGCTCAGCTCTACTCTCTTGCTGGTCTGATGTCAGGGCACAAAATGCTCTAATGTTCTTCTGGTGTAGGTCCCTCTGGTGTCAGGGGCTGATGTGAAAGCAGACCTTGTGATGTGCATCTTCCCCATAGGTCTTGTCTGTTGGCCACAGGGCTGCAGGTAATGCCAATTCCTGTAGAGTTTGTGCTGTAATACCAAGCAAAGGATTTCTGTGATATCCTGAGCTCAGAAAGGGGCTGATAACAATTTACGGATTAACACAAGGGATCCATGCTTTTTGATAGTATATTGGACTTCAGACTAGGGAGAGCAGTTCTTGGCTTTTGGAAGGCCAGTGTGATGTGGCTTTCCCTGTTTAATGTTTTATGTGGAAATCCCAGTAGGTGGTTCATTAGGTACAGTTGGCAGAGGTCCAGGCAAAGAACATTACAATATTTACTGGTTTGGTACCTTTCTTGCCAAGGTTTATAGCTAATACAGGCTTCTGCAAGCTTATCAAGCTCAGTAACTGGCTGAGCTCATGTGAAGAGCCAGATAGCTGTGAGGTTTTCCAATCAATATATATGCACACCGCATCACAGCTTTCCAGAGCACAGATTTTTCAGAGCAAATTATTGTTCCTTTCCTGAGCTTCTGTTGACAGGCAAGCACACAGACACCTTGAGCTTATTCTCTTCTGCGTGAAAGCCCAGGCTTTCTTGAAGGCATATTCAGTTTATCTAACACATCAGGGTGATTTTAAAGGCCTGGCCTTCTTGAGCATATAAACTCAGTTCCTTAAACTTGCTACTGTGATGTCAGGGTACTGTAATGTTGGCTCTAATTTGCTATATCTATTTCAAAAGCCAGTTTTCTGTAAGATTTGGTCCATTAGTTCTTGGACTGATGGGGTTTAGACTCACCAGACTTACACCAAGGCACAAAAATATGTCATCTGTGAGTGTGCTGCTAGGCTGTCATATCTCAGAGCTTTTTGACATCTCTACTCAGCTGTGAGCATTTCACGATACGGCTACAGTCTCGATGGCTCTGTTTTTTCTGAGGTAATAACCACAGATCTGCTTTAGTGACTATCACTGCACTGCCTTAACAGCTTAAGCCTAGTGGGCTTATGGAAGAGACCGTACGATACTCCAAGAATTACAGTTCATCATCTGCAGACTTCTCATTTGATGCTGGGACACAAGCAGGATGTTGGTCACTCACATCCTTACCTAGCTGGCTCGTTTAATAAATATTTTGTTATTATTAGTTGTGCCTAACTTTCTTACAAATCAGGCCACTCACTGCTTATCAACATTTCAGCACAGCATTTTGAGACAGGCACTGCATTTCTCAAATCTCAAACCTTTGTCTTATTTCCTGCAGATATGCTATCCTGGCTCTGTTGCACAGGTGCTAGCACAAAGCGTGCAGAATCCTGCTGCCCTGTGGTCTCAGTCCTGGTCTACTGGACCAGAAAGATTTGAGAGGTTTGGATCACAGAGACCTTACAGGTCTGAACTCCAAGGAAAGAAAATGAAAGAAGCAATGAGACAGTATCAGTGCAGTTCTGGGGAAGAGAGAAAAGTATCCCGATAGGTAGAAGTAAACTATGGCTTCCATAAAATATTATTTGGGGGGTTAAATTATTAAATCTAATGATCTGTGTAGAGTGTCAGCAATGCAGTAGTTACATGCATGGTTTGAATCAAACAATCTAGGTCTTGCCTTGCCTCTAACTTCTGTTATTTGAAAATTTGTCTCAGATTGAGCTGCAAAAATGCACTAGATGAAGCACAGTGATTTTTCATTAGTTTAGTGTGGATTTAAGCTTTTAAACAGTGGCTTTGTGAGATCCTAGAAAGCAGATCATGCTTGACCTTTCTTTTTTATTAACCTAGTTTCTAAATGCTAAGTTATCATTATTTGTTATGACTGGAGGCAATAATAATCTTACATTTTAGTGCTCTCAGAAGTTTAGAAGCATTTTAATCCTTTGCCACTGGGAGTCAGGATTTCCTAATACATGCGGGTTCACACTGCACAGGGCTGGAAGCCAATTGCTTACTCTTATCTGTGATGGGAAATTCCATCCTCTAATATCAAAGCCTTTGCATGTTAGCGAAATACTTTGTGCTAAAGGCACCTGCACTAAAAGTTACTTTTATCAAGAATGCAGTAGTGTTAAAGCTGATTTAACCATTAGCGTGGATGGCCAGGAAATCATTTTCTAAGCACAGTGCTTTTTGCTCCCCTTGAAGTTGTGTTTGGATGTCATGGTAGTTAAAATGTCCTGTTTCTGAAAGGATGCATGTTTTCTATGTGAGGGAGCAAGTAAAGGAATAGTCAGGTACGGCTTCTTTCAACCTTATAGTTGAAACTGCTACAACCTTGTAGTTCTGGTTGGTTTGGTATACAGCAGCTAAGGAGAGCCCAGCTCTCTCACCTGATGATAATGTTATAGAATTGCCACAGACTTTTGCCTTTAGCTAAGAGACAGCTCATTAGGTCATAACAATAGAAATAATTTACTTAGTTTTTTAGAATGGAATTTTTTTACCAAATGACAAAAAAAAATCTTTGAGATGATATTGAGAAGCCCAGATAAACAGATTGTTGCTTTTGTTTTTTTTTTTTTTTTTTGACATGGCTGATATTTAGTCTTGGGTCTGCATGCTGAAAAATTAAAATAATCCCCATCCGAACATCCCTAAATTACAAATAGGAATAAGTGACCATGGAAACAGAGACCATGTCTCCGTTGCTTTCCAAATGGATTGGAAACAGCTTGAGTCAAGCTCATTGTGAACAAAGGGAAATTTGCCAGTATGTAGACAATTAAGACTTCTCTTCCTGAGTACTTCAAATGCAGCCCTTAGAATGAGCTTTCGAAAATCCAGAGTGTCTAAGTGCTTGCATGTCTCTTTGGAGCACCGAACAGTTATGTAAGAGGGTCTCCAAAAGCAGAGAATTGTGAGCGTGGTCTTTGTGTTGAAAATGCAAATGGTTGTGGCTGATACATTTAATAGGCAGTCTGCCCCATATACTCTCGATGTAGCGAATTTTTAAACAAAGGTCCTTATTTCTTAACATTCTTTTCATCGTTTCAGAAGAGCTCAATAGGATAAACTGTTTCCCTCAAATACGTTTGAGAAAGCATTGCAGGGAGTCAGCGACAGCAATGAATGGGCGTTCCGTGTGTGGGCTTCACCCGTTCATTTCTCGTTCTAAGCAAACTTGGTACTTTCAGATGAAGTTGGCTTTATCTTTTGTGCTGACTAATTTAACTCTCTTTCTCTCTGCTCCCATGGGCATTTTTCTACTTTTAGCTCTATCTTTCTTTTCTTTGTGCATACAACTCAGTTCAGCTGCTACTTGTTAATAAACTAATTTGACAAGTTAGCGGCATATTTCTCTCTCGAGCCCTGCCTAAAACTCAAACCACTGGGAATGGAAGGCCCAAGGAAAAAGGGCCTTCTCCGTTTGTTCTGCATTTGTTCTGCGCATGGTAATACCAAACCGACGGCAAAGGGACTGTTGTGCTGAATAGTGTTCGCAGCTGTAAACTGCAACTCTGGCCAACATCTTTGTGGATGTATCTTTGTGTGACTGTATTTTGAATTTTTATGCATGGACTTCTTCATTCTTCTTTTTTTTTTACTTTGCCTCTAACGAAACAAACACTTAAAATGTAGCTATCTGACCTGCATGAGATTTTATTTCTATAAAACACACGAGTAAAGTCCAAATCCTTTCAAACTCTTTTGTGCCTTCAGTTCAATATGTTCAGTCCACATCTCAGAGGGAAGAAAAAAAAAAAAGAATATGAGGGTGGAGGGCACGCTTATAAAATGACTAGGAAGTCATCAGCATATTTGGCCTTCTCTTTCCAAGTAAAAGTCCTTTTTCTGGGAAATGTCACATTGTCTTCACTCCCTGTGGGCGTTCATTCATTTAAAAATTGTTTACGTTTATTATTTTGGGTCATATTTTGGGGGTTTTGGACAACAGTGCAGTGTATTTCTCTTGTAAAGGTCCAAGATTACATAGTGGAGGAGATGTTTAGGCAGATTGTAAGAAGTCTAATTAATGGTTGGCCTGGTTTTAACATTTGTTGTTTGCCCATTAGGCAGGTGATGGGTGAATGAAAGCAATTAAAAAAAATCCATAATCATTTTTATTGTAAAGCAGGGAAAATTTATAAAGATTCTTGTCACGTCATTGTTTCCTGTAACAACTTTTATGTTCCTCTCTTGTAGCTGGCAAAACGTGGACTAAATATAGTCATGATAAGCAGAACTCTTGAAAAACTTCAGAGAGTAGCCAGTGAAGTTGGTAAGTGCTTGCCTCAAACTCATCTTCAGGTTTAGCAGGCTGTCTTCGCACGGATCTGTAGTTAATTTCCTAGGTACGCTGGCACAGTATCTAGCACAGTGGGGCCCCAGATATAGCTACGGCTATAGCCCCAGATATGGCTGGGGGGGGAAAAAATATTTTTGGGAATACTCCGTTGCGTGAGCCCTTCCAAACTAGCCATGGATAGCTTTGAAAATACATGCTGGAGTTCAAGTGGTGGAGTGGGTTAGATGCAAAAATGGATGCAGGTTCTCTACTGGCTTCACCAGGCCTTACAAACTGTAAATGCAGGCAAATGAGATGTAACACTAACTAGGTTTGTCTGAAGAATCTACTGATCAGTTTGTGACTGGGAAAGAAAGGTTACTTTTAGGCCAGTTCTTTTAATCTAAAAACAAGTAACTCACCTAAGCAAATTAACATAAATGGAACATAGCAAAGTAGGAGTGAAAATCAAATGAACACGCTTACTGGCTTTTTGTCTGTAAGGTTTACAAGTCACGTGTAACTTTTGGTAAGGTGGTTAAATAGCATGTCTTCAGAATTAATGTTGCCTTTCTTAAAAATAAATTAGCTTAGGGAATGGCTTGTTTAAATACACTGAAATCCAAAGTTGGGATTCCTATAGGAGTCAAAGGAGTTTATGTCCTCCTCTGACTTTAAAGATTACTGTAACTGAGGTTATTCTTTCCCACTGTCTGTCCGCCCATGAGGAGTGTTTGATTTACATGTTCCTGTGTGAAATGTGTGGCACTCCAAGATCACACTTCTGTTAGAAAGACTTTCCTTTAAATAGACTTGGCAGCTGGCTCCATCAGAGTATCAGGTCAAGGATACTTATCTGCTGAGAGAGCAGTGTATCTCTCAGGGATATGATAGACTTGAAGTGGGTGAAGAAATCTGTAACTTCTGAACCTGAAGCTACTGAAGTCAAGGACTGAGCTCTTAAATTTTCTGCCTGTTTCCCTCCCTCAGTGCGAGGGATAGAGCTGTTTTCCCTCGAGAAGCAAGGAAGTTCAGTGGAGGAAAGCACCAGCTCCCTGTGAGCAGTCTCTAAAAGCAGCTATATCCATGAGGCCAATGTGACTATAGCCTACGTAGCCCCTCTTACAGTAAACAGTCATTTAAAAAAAAAAAAAAAAACTTCCATGGGATTTAGGCCAGCTCCACTGTGACTGTTGCATTTCTTTGCAACTAATTATTAAAGAATTAAAATAACAGAATCCTTTAAAAAGGCTAAAGAGTTTTCATAGTTTCTTTGTATTGTAAATTATAATTAGAACCAAAGAAAGAAAACAAGAAGATTCATGAGACTAACACAGCTAAGTAAAGAGAAGAAGTGGTGGAAGGCTGGAAAGATAACATACTGTAAATTCCTGTGTACTGTGATTTATTTAAGGCCATCCGCTGACCCCCTTCCTAACGGAGGCCCTCTTGTGCTGTGTTCTGTAGAAAGACGTAACAAGAGCCTAGACCTGTCCTGAAAGGTATCACTCAAATAGCCTATCCTGCAATATCCTCTGTGTCCTGCAGGAGTGGCCCACGACTTTTTGCATGTGAGGAAAGCCTGTTGACTTCAGCAGCACTATACACGTAATCTCTGGTGTGGGAAGGCAGATAGTTTGACCCCAGGAGCTCAGGCTATGCTGATTAGGTGCTGCAATGTGTTCAGCTGGGTTGTGGGCACAAAGAGATTTCCCCAAAGCCTGCTGAAATTGGTGGCAAATCCCAGCAAGATCTTTCCATTGTTTTCAGTGGGTTTTGGCTGAAGCCCAGAGTGACTCATGTATTATTTGTTGTGTCAGGTTGGAAATGAGTACATAATAACAAGTAGATGGCACAAACAAAAGGAAGGAGAGGAAGATATAGTGAAGAAAAGCACAGAGTGTATGATCTGGAGGCCACTAAAATCAGCAGGGAGCTCTGGATCAGGCTTTTAAATGTGTGCTTATGCTAAAGCTTTGGAAAAGTTCCACTGATTTCAGCTTGCACACTCAGACTTTGTTGTAGTTAAGCTAGGCAGTCTTCAGAAAAGGAGAAAGGTTAAACTTACTGTGATTTTTTTTATTATTTCTAAATTGCTTAAACAAGCAACGTCTCAGCCCAAGCAGTTATCATTATCCCTAGAGTTTGCTTTAGGTTATATAAATAAGTTGTAGGACTGGGCAGTAACTTAGACTTCCTCTTCCTATACTGCCACACGGTATGTGTTTTCCCAAAGAGTTGGACATCATTATTAAGAGAGTTGCTTCCCTCTTCAACCTGACAATATCATTTGCCTAATTATAGTGTTACTTTCAATTTAGATACTGAAGAAAATAAATGAAAGGAGGCTAAACTGTGGATAAGTTCAGAGATCTCAGTATTTGGCTTTCAAATAGTCCGGTGAATCATAGGTGTGCCAGAAGGCAGCTCTCAGAACTGGAATTTGGAGCGGAGAGAAATCCACAATAAGAAAAACATTTCTCTAAAGAACTGTTGGAATTGAAGCAAGATTTCCACCCATTGAGACAGGAAGGCTTTTTCGGAATGTGAGATAAAAGGTAACAAAGTAAGTCCTGCGGCGAACAGACAAATAGAGCCATTATGTCTGGTATACTGCTCATTTAACACCTTTTGTATTCTGGTGAAACATTGATCAAGCCGTAAAAGCAGGAGGTTAGCAACGGAGGCATGCTATTAACTGCACTCCTTTAATTTCTTCTCCCTATACTTCCTAAGCAAGCTATACGGAGGGGGTTAGATCCTGACTGAAAAGCTGCATGCTAGGATGTGTTGATGTAACCAAGGTCTGTAATGTTTAGCTGTTATATTATTCCACCAAACAGATGATAAAAAGCCACTTCTGTAAGACGTGGAACTTATTCACAGCAAGCTTTTTGTTTTTAGGAAGAAATAAATCTGTATTTAAGGAAAGATAAGGTGTTTAATCCTCAGAAAGTAGAAGAAATAGTGCAGATATTTTGGTTTAGACTAGCGAGGTGTGTGGCTCAAAAATTTAGGTTTGGTAATGCAATAACTGGTTTATCAGCCTTTGCTGCTGAAATCATCTCCGTTAATATGAAATGATAAAATGAATATAAAAATCACCTTACAGAGTGGTCTAGAACCAAATATCATTTATTCCCACTAAGACCTGTAAAGGTGCTAATTCAATTAGCTGCCCTCATTCCTAGAAATTGTTTCCAGTCTGTTTTACTTTTTCTTCCATCCCCCTAGAAGAGCTGGCTCCCAGAGCTAAGCAGATAACAAGCTGAGATGACTGCATAACTTAAAACACTTGACGTATCCTTCCTTTTCCCTCAAAGGTTGTTAAATTACTTATAGTTAAACTGTAGCTACTGCACATTGCAGATGCCAGCTGGTGCAGCATTATTACTCGAGGCTGTTTTTCCAATATACACAGCTACAAAACCAAGAGTAAGTTTAGGGCCTTGACCCATATTTCTGAGAGCTCTAGTGATTAATAGTATTTCCCGTGTTTTTTTCTCACTGAGTTTGTGTTATCTGGTATTTTCTATCATCTTTTTCTGTTTTATGTTTTTACCCTCTTTCTTTCTGTTCTTCTCTATTTTCCTGTTATTTCTCAAGTGTTTTTACTTTACATTTCTGAGGGGATATATTTCTCAAAAAGCTGGAGCCAGAACTTGTGCTTCATAATATTATAGAACTTTTTACATGTATCCCTAATCTTAAATGTTGTTTTTACCTCTTTTCATTGTTGAAATAACTTACCTAGCTTCTTGTTTTGCCCTGCTCTCTGCAAATTTCCTCTGAATATGAATGCCATCTTAGTCTGAGTACTTTTCTCTTTGTATTCAAATTCTGCTACAGTTACTTCAGAAGGGTCTCTTATTCCTGCAAAGATCAGATCTCCTGCCACTCAGGCTTCCTTTATTTTGCTAACGCAAGTTTTCGGATGACCTTCATAAGTCCCTAACCCTAAAGGGAGAGTTTCTGGCAGAGTGCATGTTCCAGCCAACTTCATGCTTCAGCCTGATTTATTTTCTTCTTGGTAAATTTTAAAAGGCAGCATATTATCCTATCTGACAAGCAGGATTCCCAAGTGGTCTGAGGTCAGGAGGAGTTAACTGTATCCTTCTTCATGATGCATTTTGTAACACACCAGATTAAACACCTCAATTTGAGTTTTAAATTTTCATTAGAATAATCAATAATCTTCCCTTCATTAAAAAGAAGTGTATAACCTGTGCTCATGTTTGAAAACCTAGACCCTTTGCTTCTGGCACAGCTAGGGCTTTTTTTAAAGGTTGGAATGGCTTGTGTCTTCAAAGGCTATCATAAATCTATGTCACAGAGAGGTAGAGACATAAGAAACATTGGAAAGGGTTTTTTTTGGCTCTCTCCTTTATGGAATTATTATCTTTTTCTAAAGAGCTATCCCTGGGTAATTCATTTATCAGCATGATAGTTTTATTGTTTTTTAATATATTGTTTCATTCTTAAATGAGACAGAGTAAAGCCATCTGGAGTAGTTGTTTGCTGGCTGACAGCACTGGTTGCAGCAGCACTGTTCTGTGTGGACAAGGGGTTGCAGAGGAAGGCCAAATGGTTTGTTTGATCTTCATTTTTATATTACTGTAGTTTTGGCTGCCCTTCTGATTGCCCGCAAGAAAGATGGCCACAACATCACTACACTTTTTAAGACCATCTCATTTTGTTTATAGAGCTCTTCAAATCTGAAGGTCACTGTAGGTATCTGCTCCAGCTGTTGCTCTGTTCTTTTCCTTCCCTGCATTTACACTCACAATGTCTTTATTCTTTGAAGTCATACCATTCCCCCAGTCTGGGACCACTAGGGGGTCATTTGCCACTAGAGTTGCTTTTATAGGTTGAAGGTTCAAAGGGTACCTTTCGTCCCTTTCATACACACAACTGCAGCCTGGAAAGAGGCAAGAAAAAGGGCACTTTTTGCCCCTCACCCCTGTCATGGAGACAGATGTCCTCTAAAATTGCACATAAGATGCAGCCTGCTTTTCAGACCTGGAGTCAGAGAGTCTGCCGTTCCTCAGGCTGCTTGTGTTACTTGACTAGCATGAGGCAGTGGAGACTCACAGTGTATCACGCAGTGAGGAGGGAACAGCTCGGAGATCTGCCCCTCTCATCCTCCAATGTGGGCCCTGTTTTGAGGCAAACTGGCCCAACGGACCTGAAGCTGCAGCTGGCTTCCTGCCAGCCTAGCGTCCTGCAAGAGCTAATGCAATGAATAACCGGCCTCTTCCTAAGTCTGAATGTACACCGAGAGATATGAGGCAAGATTTCTGGATAGAAATCCATGTGTCTGATTCACATCTGGGGCAGTGTGCTCTCCTGCCTGTATGAAGTTAGATATAAAATCAAGCTCTGAACAAACAGAGCCGGTTTCCCAAGAGGGACTCAAAAGCACACTTTCTGCCACCCGTGCGTGCATGAACTCCTGCCAATTGCAGCCAGTTTGCATTCAGATAATCTACTGATGTTTCCAAGCTCCCCTTTGCCATTTTTTCAGCAAACTTCATCTGGATTTCAGGTTGCCCATAAAACTTGAAAGCAGGTTTAGTAGCAAGAATTTACAACATGAACCTGTAGTTAGAGGAGACCTCACTGGGCCCCTTTAAAGGAGAACCTCACCTCTAAAAATGAATAAATTAGAGTCTCTTCCACTTTTTCTCACGCAACTTCATTGAAAATATGGACAGCAGTAATCCCGCTGCTGATACAAATGGTGATATACAGCTGGGCTCCACTCCTGCATAGCAATGACAGGGGAAAAATCATACATGTTTCCCTTTCCCTTCTGTGCAAATTACCTTGTAAAATTTAAGTTATATCCTCCCTTACATGCCTTTTACTCATGCAGAATCCTAGGGAAGGTCCAGTTTACAGGGGTGCAAATGTAAAAACAGGAGAGGAGTAGTCTGAAAAAGAGGCAGAAAATACTGCATCACAGTGCCTATTTTCCTCTCCTCCTACATGAAAAAATAAGCTCTGCTTATTGAAATGGTCATCTTGTACAGGAAAATACTTTGCAACAATTCTGCAGAACTGAGCTTGTGTAGAAGATCTGGCACCCACATACACTTGTCTAACATATGCTGACAGTGCTCTTTTGTAAATATTATGATAACCAGGGGAAGAAGTTCTGTATTGTTTATTTCTATTTTTTCTTACTTGAGGATCAAATGTTCAGATTTTGTGAGGGAATTTCCATTGATTTCAGAGCAGAAATTGATTCTATATTTGTCAGGCTGTTTCTCTGAAAACAATTGGTTACAATGAAAGTATTTTACTTGTGTTGTGATTCTTGTCAAAGCCAGAAAGTTGAAACAGTTACTTATTCTACAGTGGATGTTATTATATTGGACATCTGATTTTTTTCACTCATTACTCAGTTGCAGTTCTCCCTCCCTCTGTGTAGATGCAAAGGGATTTTCTCTTTTTCTTGGTTACAGAAGAGGCCACAGGTCAAAAGGTGAAGATTATACAAGCTGATTTCACTAAAGATTCAGTGTACAAGAATATTGAAGAAAGTGTTGAAGGCTTGGAAATTGGTGTTTTGGGTGAGTCACTGAAGCCTGCTAACTGAAGGGTGTTTTGCAGCTGCAGGGTATTACACAGAGAATTGCATAAAATGATGCATGTCATAACAACTTGCTACAGTTAGCAGACACTGCTAAAACCAAACATGCCTAGTGCTTTTGAGCATTCACTATTACGAGCAAGTTTTAAAAGTGAATTAAGATTCTCCAAAGGCTTTCCATTTCTCTGGCCTGTACAATGATTTCTTTCCTGAGAAAGCTCCTCTGCCACTTTATAAGCAGCATCCAGCTTGTGAGGTGACTTCTTCCCCTGTCTGGCCTCAGGGAATTAATTTTCACTATTGGTTGTTTGACAGCTGTGTGCAATTCTTGTATTCAGTCTGAAATGAGCCTGTGGCTAACCCTAATTGGTATGAGCCACACAGGAACAATGAAAACTTTTTGGTTGTTGTTAGTAAAGAAAATCATGCTTTTAATAGTGAAACAAACAAATAAACAAAGAAAAATACCCCAATCAAACAAAAACTCCAGACCCAAACTGTAGAAACAGACTGTTTTTCCATTTTCTGAAGTTAATACAGATGACTTCAGTAAGAACAAGACTCAGTGCTAGATGGCATCTCTCTTCACACACAGCTTAAAAACTTCTGAGTCTTAAGGAGAACCCATTTGTTTAACTAGCTGAGCTATGTACTTTGTCTAGATGTGGTTCTTATCATTATGTTTCCTTTGATTAGTTAACAATGTTGGAATGCTTCATAATCCTCTTCCGTGCCGTTTCCTTAATGGACCAGACATAGATGAGGTAGGATTACTCTGTGGTTTTCTACTTGCACTATAACAATCAGGAACTGTAATTCCACTTAACAATGGACAGTTTCTGCCCCTACTACAATCAGCATACATTTAACTGTTCAACTGAGTGGGAAAAGAACTGGGCCTGAAGGAGCAGAGTTTGTTTTGTTTCAATTTTAATGTTCAGAAGAGTTTGCAAGAGAAAAACAGTGATAGATTTCAGCTAAATTGGTGCAGACACTTGCCAACAGATCAGAGTGCGCGATTGGCCCCAGTATAGCAGAGACAGCAGCCTCTCTGGCTCACTGATCATTTGTAATGTAATGGGGTCCAGCCTGGTCACAGCCACGGGTGTTGGGTTCTTATTAACTTTATTAGAACTTCCTTTCTTTGAAATACCATTGCTTAAGTATGTGAAAACTGAAAAAATAAGCCCAGTTTAAAGAAAGCTTACTATTTTAGGAAGTAGATGTAGATATACATGTAGAATAGTTTTAGAGGATTACGGACCTGATCTTTGCCTTACTGTTGTTTACCTATACAATATTAGTTGTGGAAAAACCAGATTTTCTGAGCATCTTTCTTGCTGGCACCTGCCACAGGATCCATTCCATCTGTACAACATAACCTGCTACAAATTAGAGGTCCCCAAGCAGGCTGCTTCCTTTAGAGCGGCAGCCCCACAAGCAATATGATCATGTGAGAGAGGGTCTCTGTCCCAAATAATTGCCATGGGTACAGTGCCTTCTGGTGGCAGCTATACTACTGCTATGACTTGGGTTCGCTTGCTGGTCTTAGGAGGGTATATCTACATGGTAGCTTATGTTGCAGTGCCAGGCTGTAAAAAACGTTGCAGCCTCCATCACTGGGAGTTATCCGGTGTCAGCTGGGCACCTTATAGTTTGTTCTCTGTGTGCATCTGGCTTCATTTCCTGCTGCCTTCACTGCTTGGCTGCTAGGCTTCCGGATTTCACCTTGTGCAAAGATTTGGCTGGGCCAAACAGTGCTGGCATTGGATATAAGGAATGTAAGGAATATAAGGAATATAATATCAGGGGGTGTGAATGTCATGGCTAGAAAAAATGAATCCAAGGCTAAGCTGTCCTTGAGTACCTCACATTTTAGGCACAGTTAGTGAAAATCCAAACTTAGGAGCTGAAAAAGCAACTGCTTTGCTAGATATAGTTTTTCCGGTGAATTTTCTGCGTATATTATCTAAGTTAAGCTACACACTCTGAAGTTAACTATGTGTAACTATTTTCTTGCTTCCTGCAGAGCCTCATCAACTGCAACATTATTTCCGTTATAAAAGTACGTACCACACAGATTTCTAATCGATAACATTTTTATTGGAAAAAATTTATCTCTATGCAAGAATGACCAATTAGCTTTCCTGCGTATTTTCATTTCATTTATTCCCAGATAGTTATTTATAACATCAATGCCAGCATTATTTTAGGGAGTTCGTGTGGTATGTTTGGTTCTGCTGCCTGTGAAACATTTTGATCAGAACTGACTGGAAACTTTTTAACATAGCTGCTTTGTTAAGATATATTGTTACACTGCGGCTGAAACATTTTGCAAAAACATGTTGATTTCAGTAAACAGGAAGATCTGTAACAGAATCAAAATCCAGGGGAGTAGAAGACACTCAGTTTGACTTTTTGTACTGGAAGAGCACTTTTTGACACGATTCTGTTGTGCAAAAAAGTTTTTGCATCAATGCAAGACAGAAACTTAAGGAGTTGAGTCCCAGTCCTGTATTGTCACCCCTCAGTGTGACAATTAAAGTTTGTATTGCTCTGCTGTTTGCAAGCAGCATGTTAACATGAACAAGAGCAGAACACTTCCTAGTTCATCTCAACCTTGGCTAAGGTATTTCTAAACATGGCATGCAAATTATCAACAGATGTTCCTCTTTCCTTGGCTAGGAAACTTTACCTCCCAAATTTGTACTGCTGCTTAATGACTTCAGAAAATAAATCATGGACTATCAGTCAATTAAAACACTTTTCTTTTATAAAGTGTTTTGGTGAGCTTTCTGCCTCCAGGTTTTATTCTATTTATATATCAATATAGCAGAAACATCTGCAACACCTAAGCACTAAACATACATATCCCACATAAACAGGTCCACAACAAACACTTTGTACTGACACAGCCTAGATAAAAAAGGATTCTCCCTTTGTCACTTCATACTTTAGACATGCCACAAAATCAGCCCTTTCCACTTCACTGTGATCTGGGGCTTCCTTTTCCTTGCTATTACAACCACTTTATTTTTGGCTTTTCACAACATTCACTTTCCTCCAAAATACTGAGATGAAATCATGCTCCTAGCCAGCATTTCTAATGGCTAGGTCCAGATTATCCTGAAATCTTTTGTTGGCTTCCTCTTCCTGGCTTGAGTCCTGGAAGGATCCTGCCCACTGCTCACTGCTCCATTCAGATGTTTGAGCTCCAAGTATTGTTGGCTCCCACAGAAGTCAGTGAGATTTTCAGCATTTTGGTTAGCAGAAGTAGGACCGTTTCCCATGTTTTCTACCATACTTGGAAAACCCCTTCACTCAAGCTGGCATGACCCACCTCCATCCTCTCTTTTTTTAACACCCTTTCTGCAAATGAAGCTTGTGAAACCCACCCTGCTCCTGCTCGTCCCTGGTGCACAATCACATTTCTAAAAAAACCCCCGGAATTAGCAAGGGTTGAATTAAGCTGCATCATTCATTTACACTGCTTTTCATTACTGCCCTTTACAATTTAGGTCACGCTCTTATTCTGCAGAGATTTATACACTATATGTGTTTATAACAAGTCAATAGTCTTGAGGATGAATTCCCAAAGGAACATAGGTTAATGTCAAGAATACTCTTCAGGTAAAACAACCAGCAGCAGGCTTCATGCCTAAAAATTGATTTAATTATGCTCTAAAAATTATAAACATGATTAAGTCTATTATTAAAAATAAGAATGGATGATTAAATAATTAGCATAAATATGATCCTAAAGCTATTTTGCTAGCAGAAAAAAAAGTTGTCTTTTCATGATTTTCTGCTATTTCTGATCCAGGTAGAGCCAGAAGTGAAAACACAAGAACACTGTGAAACCTACTTTCTCATTAGGTTCAATGAGAATCTGATCAAATCTTGAAGATTCAGGAAATTCAGATACTGTTGAAAAGCTTTTGGATAAGGATGAGATTTTCACTGCCTAGCAGATTAACCTTTGGAATTTTTTGACAACAATTCAGCTGATTGGCAGACTATGAATATCTAAATCTTTCCCAAGAGTTTCAGGGTGCCATATTTTAGTTATCTGAGTTGCATATATATGGCTGGGGCTTGAGTAAATGGAAAACCTTCTGCAAAAAAACCCAGTCAAAAAATGAGTCAGAAAATATTGTCAGAAACAGAGATATTGGATATAATCCTTAACTTAACTTGTCTTACAGATGACACAAATAATTTTGAAAAAAATGGAGCCAAGGTAAAAAAATTTTTTCCTCCCTATAACTTTTGATAGGTTCAGTTTGTTTAGTGGTAGTTATGCTTTTTCATGATTAGCTTCTCTACTTTATGGTATGTCACTTGGTAAGATTTCTGTTGATGTTATTGCTGGGTAAATGAATGATACGAACTGCCACAAACTGTCAGTCAACTGTAGAACAAGACAGAAAATATAAAATACTGGAGTCTGTTTCCAGAAAAAACATGCATGTATTGCAGAAACAAAATTACATGTGATGGGCCTAATTAGGCGAGTAGTTGCATTTGAAAATGTGGTAATATTTTGTGATAGCTGTTCTCAGAATAATACTGTTCAAGCACTGGAGATACCTGTACTTCCTCAGAGAGATTAGTTCAGCTATGTAAATAAGGATTTATTTTCTCTATTTAATATAATGTGTGTTTTAGACATAGGGGGTTGTTAAAACAGAAGTTAAGGTCATCACATGGAGTTTCTAGAAAATGTTGTTACTACTGCGTGTTAGAGGACAGTATATGCTTTTTGTTTGGGCAACAAAATAAGCTTTTACTGCTTAATTTGTTTTCTTTTTCCCTGGTTGTTGCTGAATAAATTGTTTTTACTGATTTGTACGGGGAGTTGTGAGAAACTAAAGCAACAGATGCATGAAGCAGGAAAAAGAATGTGCTGTTTAATGAGCAAAGGAGACCTACCAATTACTTAGGAGCATAAAATATTTCCTCTGATGGCAGTTTTTGCTCTGTCAGAGGTACAATAGCATGTACGATGTTCCCATCGTTCTGACTAGAACGATGCACTAGTGCACTAGGCACTTGAATTTCACTTATGACATTTTTCCAAGTTGTTTTGGACTTGAGTGCACTGAACTAAACTATAAAGGTTAGGTCTTTTGAGAATGTAGTCTACTATATAACAGGAGAAAAAGTTGTTTTCAAGTTGCACAGTTTTTCACTGTAATGCCATCAAAAGTAAATTGAGTGTAACTGTATTTAAATTAAATTTCAGACAGAAAGGTCTTATTCTGAATCTGTCCTCTGGTCTGGGTACTTTCCCTTGTCCATTATACACAATGTACTCAGCTTCTAAGGTAAGTCTTTGACATTGCTTTATAAATAAATGTCAATCAAGTGTTCACTAAAATGTTTATATCAGCAGCATAGGGGCAGGTCCTCAGATGGCATCAATCCATGTTGCTCCATTGAAATTACAGAGCAATGTAAATTTGTACCAGCTGAGGACCAGGAATCAGTGAAGCTATACCACTGGAATCCAGCTGAAGATATGGCTCAAAAAGAGAAAAATTTTCCCTGTAATTTAACAGTATTATACCAACGCTCACAGCATGTCTTGATTCAGAGCAGTGATGACTTTTACTGGGCTGGCTTATCTGTTTTATTCAAAACTGTAGATGCACAAGACTGTTGATAGATTTTAGTTATGGAATGTGGAGTAAAACCACTGGTTGGTGGGCGGTGATTTGCCCGACTTCATAGATTTCATTTTGAGATTCTATTCTGAATTAAAATCTAAGTGCTTATCAAAATAAGGAGTTACTGCCTGTCACTGAAACTCCAAAAACGTTCCACTCAGCTCAGATTTGTTTCAAATGAAAAACTCCTAAGGAATGATATTTGCTTGAATATAACTAGAACTCAGCTTGGTTTATTTAAAAAAAAAAAAAAAAAAAAGCTAAAAATTCTAGTTTTCCAATTCCTTTTTCTATTTTTAAAATAAGTTTCTCATAGTACTCAAAACTACATTCAAACCATACAATTTTAGTTACTTAAAAAACTAAGTTAATATTTCAAAGTGATGTAGTATACTGATTGTCATCTTTTGACTTTTTTTTCCCTTTGGTAAGCGTTTCTGAGCACTTTTTAATGCACTTCTTTTTACAATGCCCTGAAAGGAAGCTATTTAACTTGTCAGCATACTATTGCTTCATGTCATATCATGAGACTATTGAGGTTTAAAATTGTAAGACCTGGTAAAGGATGGCTATGAAATGCCCTCAGGTTTTCTCCTTAGATGCTTTTGTACATCTAATTACTGAGATTTGATTCAATGTTGCCAAGTTCCAGAATATTTCGCAAAGGTCTAGCTCCTAAGATGACTTATTATACCAGAAACTCAACTTTTATACAAAAAAAAAAAGTATATGTCTGCTCGTCATGGTACGGAGAAAAAACTTGGAAACATGAACTCTAAAGGCTGAAGCTGTGGAAGGCAAACAAGCTCCTTACGGTGTTTCTACTCCAACGACAACGCACCAAAATCCTCAAATACATTACTCTAAAATTCTTAAGGCTGGAGTTGGATTTCACTCCCCTTTTTACTGCAAGAGAAAACAGCAGCATAAACCTTGAATTGGGAGGGTGTGTGTCAGCCAAGAAAGAGAGCCACATGCAACAGTGCCAACAGCTAGTGTGAAGGGGACTTTGGCATTTATAGTTCTGCATTTTCATGAAATGTGACAAAGCTTTCAGTATAAACCTGCAGTAGTAGTTGTTTCAAGCCTAGTTTGAGCTAGTGTTGGGCTACATCTTTTCTAGTGCAGATAAGGAGTGAATCCTGCCATTGCTAATGCAGGACAGCAGAGATGTGTCTTGAAAAGATCACTTACAGGTTTTTCACCACTGCACTATGACTTAGGTTGTATGATGCTTGGTTATTTTTGGTAAGGACTACATATGTACATACTTGTGACTCTATGTGGAAGTACTTTCACTGCATGTGCACTGTATGTGCAACGTAATCTTTCATTCTTTCTTTCTTTTTTGTTTTTTGTTCTAGGCTTTTATATGCACTTTCTCCAAAGCACTACAAGCAGAGTATAAAGAAAAGGGAATTATCATACAGGTGATATTATCTCTTACCATATTTGCCTTTATGTTAATGAATCCTTGAACATGGTTTGGGATGCTCAAACCTATAGCGTATAGCCACCCTTGGTGAAGAGAGTGCCTCTGCCGAAGCGCTCTCTTCTCCGTGTGGAATTACAGACTTTTTTCCTTATTCTGCTGCAGTACCATTTCACTGCAAGTACATGTTACAATTTGTCAGATGCTGAGGGATTCTGCACAGTGAAATGAAAGACCGTATGAAAATGTTTGATCCCATTACACTATTCTTTTGATTTCTTATTTTAGGTGGTGGCTCCTTATGGTGTTTCTACTCCAATGACAATGTACCAAAAACCCAGTCTTATCACAAAGACGGCAGAAGAGTTTGTTAGTGAATCACTGGATTATGTCACCTTTGGAGATGAGATTTTTGGATGTTTAGCCCATGAAATATTGGTAATTGAATTTGATAGTTTGTAAGTGGGTCCCAAAGGCTGGACCGAGGCTGACCGGCAGTAGAGGGTTTTCACTGAGTTCAAAGACCTTAAGATTAGGCTTCAAATGGTAAATGGTAAATAAATTGTTAACGCTAATTAGACACCAGTAAACTATGAATGGAGGAAAATGCAAGTAACACGCATTGGCCCTCAGTGAAGTCTGACTTTCTATGCTTTTGTATCTTCAGCTGAGCTCAGTTTGGTCTCTGTTTTCATGACCCTGTTATGAAATACAATTGAGACCCCTACTCCTTTACAGAAATTGGCCAGCAGATTCAAACTTTTAGTGAGGTAAAGTTAGTGGGGAAAGGAAAGGATTAAAAAAAACCACACTGCTATCACATGAACTTTGTTTTCTTAGGAAGCCTAGCTAAGAAAACAGAATAAATATTTATGTAATGATGAGCACTAAACAAAAGTATGAGGAAGAGAAAGATCTGCTGAAAACTGAGAAGAATGAACATTTGCCTCTAAGAGAAAGATTCATACTAAAAGTATACTAAAAGTATAAAGTAGAAGCTTTTGCATTTACTATTTTCTATGACCTTTGTGAACACTGAGTTAATTTCTTTCAAAAGGCTTCTGTAACCATTTTCTTTGTATTGTTTTTGCTTGATTGTTTTAAAGGCGTGCATCCTGCAGCTCATCCCTTTATGGGTATTCCACAGTGACAGACTTCAAGAAACAGTCTTGCATGCATTTACCAGGTATCTGAAGAAGAGGTGGAGGAACCCCTAGGAGAATCATTTTAGGGGAAGACGTGCAATTGACAAAGCCAGTGGGATGCATTTTGCAGTGCCTGTGTGTGTGTGTGTGTGTGTGTGTGTGAGATCGCTTACCAAGGATAATATGATCCAGTGAGTCTTTTGAGCACATCCATTAGCATCCCTCTTCAAACACCATAAAATCTGCAAGAGATGTTCCAGTGACTTCTATGGGCTTTAGACAGATTCTAAGAAATGCTGCTGCTGCTACTGTTCTAATATAAGCTTGGAGGCCACAGATACCCGCACTTATTTGAAGTTCACAAATAAAACAACCATTTGCTTTATTTCCAGACTTGTTGAAAGTGTATTTTTATTTTCGGACAGTATTTTGTGTCTTGGTTTCTTCTGAAAAGAGAAGCAGATTTCCAAGAAGAAAAAAAATAGGAAGCTTTCGTGGGAGATGTACACACTGAGGTATTGGAACTCTGCAGCCATAAAAAATGTATTACTGTCAAGATCCTATGATTGCCTTCTCCCCCTGCAATATTTGAGCTGGAGGAGGCAGGAGCATCAGCAAAAGATAGGCAGTAATTCTGTGTTCCTGGATGAAACTAGAAGGCAGTTGTAGATAACTATTTATTCCACTGTACTTCAGTTTGTTACTAATCAGGAATTGTAATGTTTCTTCCAATTTTGCAGGCTTATTTTATTTCTGCATTCCAAAAAACTTTTTTGTAAAGCTGCATTAAGATAGCAAAGACCTTATTCAAAAAAGTATATATTGGTGTTTGTTGGCCAGATGTGACCTGGCAAAGTGTCTGTAATATTTGCTACATGGGATGGATAGGAATCACTAAGTATACTCTACTGGCTCCAGAAATTCCTGTTCTTGGATTGAATCTAGTGACAAATATGGAATCTAATGGCAAATATAGTGACACCATATAGACTTATAATACAGGATCATAGGTCCCAACTTTTTGCAAATGCCCCTGTTCCCTTGTGGGAATTATAGCAAGGAACAGTTAAGGACCGTGCTGAGATCTCCAAACTAAAATCATAACAATTAAAATACATAAAATAATATGTACTTTTCCTCTTATACGAGCACATTTGGTTCAGGACTGCAGACAATCCGAAAAAGACACCTTAATCACATGGGTCACCAAGTCCTTCCTCTGAATGCAGTGAGGCTGCTCATATATTTATTCATGTCGGAACTGGGGATGAAGGGAGAAATAGGTCACTTGCACATAAGCACTGCTAAACCACAGCATTAAGAAGGCCTGCCTCACCCCAGAAGTTATGAGATTTTAATATATGGTAAGTAATAATTTTTGTTTTGTTTTTTGAACCTTTGAAATTTGCATGTCCAATGCTTTCTCTACGGCCACAACAATTTAGCCTTTATTCTATGAATATTTGAAAGCTTAAGCTCCAGTTCTTACACATCGACATGCTTCTAGCATTTGGTGCTTTAAGGAAAACACAAACAAATAAATATGGATCTTGGTAAAATTGTCAGTGGCAGCATTTTCATTTCTCTCTCAAGACCCGATTTCACATCCGCCTTTTGACTGTGCTAAAAATTAAATGCTGTCTTTGAACAAAAATAGTATCAGAGCCAGACTCCTGAAGGACAGTAGCAAAAGAATTGCGAGGTGAGATCACTGTAGTGCAGCACTAAAAGTGTGCGCTTGGGAGGCCAGCCCTGTTTGGGACCTTTCTCCAAAATTCCCCTGAGATGAAATAGCTGCAGTTACCTCTGTAGGAGGTAAAGCTTAATAAATGTCACTTTTGGCACCCCGAAGAAATTTCACTTAATAGTTTTAACAGTCTGCAAGTGGAAGTTTTAATGTCCACTTTGTGCATGTGGAAGGGTGTATTTTAAGATCATTCTGCTGGTTTTTAATGGAAGAAGCAAAGGAGATATTTCTTTTGGGTATTCTTAGTCATCATTAAAAACAAAAGCAGTGGGTAAAGTTTTTTAAAAACAGTTCTGTGAGTCAGGAGCAAAAGTGTCATTGACTCTTAGAGTTTGAAATCAGTTCAGTCCTTTCAAAATGTTTTCTAATTCATTTCTCTTAGGTTGTGTCTAGTCATAAAACCATTGCATTCTCAGCTTTAGAACAGGAAGACATTTCTTTCTATGATTGTAAAAATATCTGAAAAACTCCTTTTGTGCTATATGCCCATTGCATCTCATAGCCTTTTTAATTAAATGGCCTCTACGTGTTGCTTGTATTTTGTAGCCTTATATAAAATAATTTTTTTAAATAAAACCACTACTGTTTATTACTACCCAAAGTAGAAAACATCTGGAAGTAAAAATGAGACATCTGTGCTGGACATGTTAACATTGTTGATTTAGAAAATGAGGAATAGGAATGGTTTGTTCATCATTTCATAAGGACTGTGTTTTTGACTGATTTAACTTATATTCTCTCAAGTGTGATATTTGTGCAGCTGTTCAACAAAACAGTAGGGATATAATATATGACAAATATTACATGTGAGCCAAAAGCTGAAGTCCCTGGGGGAAAAACTCATTCAATGCCAGGCCTAGATGGGGAACGCAGGGTTCATGTTTGCTGTTGGTAGAACTGCGCATTTCTCCATGGATGTGTATTTTCAAGCAGAACCTTTGCAGCTATGACAGTAAACGCAGCACACTTCTCCCTCCCCTGCCTTTCCCCTCCAAATGCATGCTGAGGCCATTCCCGTGGGCAGCTCTTTATATGTTTGATTTACACATGTGAGTAGTTGCAGCTGGGCAAAGCCACTGTTTTGCAGCAGCAGCAGCAAGCCTGGATGCCTCTCCTCTCTGAAGCTTAGTTTCACCTTATAGCTACCTGCTCTCTTGCTTTCTCTTAGATTTTCACCTGAGTTACCTACCTCAGGTCAAAGGGCATCCTTTTGCCCTTCCCGCAACAATAAAATATCTAAACGTTTGCCACTGGAGACAAACATCAGCTTACGTGATATGCAGGGACCCCAGTCACGCAGACGTAGTGTTGGCACAGGCAGAAGTTAGTGAGCAAGGGAGACTCTGTTTCCAAGGTTTAACATTCCCATAATCTACGACAAGTGACATTTCCATATTTCTTGCCTCACATTTGTTTATGCTTGGGCATGCCGTGTGAGCCTTGCAGGCTGTTACTGAAGTTGAGCAATCGGCTCAGCGCAGATTTGTTTCTCTTGCAGAGCAGGAGGATCTTGTTACTCGCTGCTCTTGCCTGATCACCCCATTCAAGAAGCCATACTTTTGACCTTTCGGCTCATTATTTTGTTCGGCGCTGGGACAGGATCATGCTCACTTGCAGCCTTCAGGCCGCTTTCCCCAACTGCGTATGAGAATTAGTCCGTGGAAAGAGGTCTCCCCTCCTCCGGCAGGCCCTCCGGACGCGCGCCAGGGGACGC